TAGCTAACCTCGGCGCGTCGCATAGGATGGAAAGTACCTTTTTCATATTTTATTGTAATAAATATTTACAAACTGTGTCTTTCGGGTTTTTTTATCAATATATAACCAATAATGATGTTAATATGAATAAATAATCATATCTCAAATCTGTGACTATGACTTACATTGAAATTCTACCTTAAGTGTATTAAAAAGGTTTTTAATTTCCTGCAATTTTATCCTGTGATTATGCTTCAAAGCAGTCAATTGACCGTGATTTTTTTTTCATATTTTGATTTCCTTGAAATCATTTTTCTCATCTGAAGGCATGCAACTTTAATATGATGATACATTAATTACATTCCATGAAAATGTTTAAAGATATAAAATATCTCATGACATGTTTGTTCATTTTACATTACACCTTTAATGCAGCAAACATAAAAAGTCTTCACAAAAGTAGAATGCAATCGTACCTATATTACATACGAATGTGTGTAAGATTTTCTTGTTTATTATAGTAGACAGTAGACATTTTATTTTATTCCAATAGGCTTTAAAGCCGATGCGGACATAAAATATGCACAATAACGAACTGTTCATATAAACATAATATCAAAAATCATGAAAAAGTTTGGAGAAGATCAATTTTGATTGATAAAGTAAATACCAGCCGAAATTTTCTTAAGGAGTTACATAATGAACATTTTCAAAATTGATCTTTAAACCAGTAACTTATAGGTCTCTTGTATATACATATACATACACACATATACATGTACATACATACAAAAAACATACATAACATGAACCATTAATGCAAAATTGTTGTATATTAATCGATTTTAACGCATAAACGCAATTACAATATGTTTATACACATATCCTAAAAAATGAAGGTCCCTTCGCACCAATTGCGGATTTCATAATTGTAAATGATAGGAACGTCATAATTTGATCGAAACAATTACATGCAAGAATTTGCCTATCATAATCTGGCGTTTTTTCTTTCAACAAACGCCCCAACAAAAACAATAATTTCTGTAAAAAAAGTAGTTCAGGTATCAGCAATCAAAGAGTGACATTGGAATTTGCTTATTAATTTCTAGTGTTAATTATAAAGTTTCAAATCGGATTTGGATTTCGATGTTTTTATCCATGCCGAAAACCCGTCTGAAACCTTTAATGCCAGACCGCTCATGAGCTAAGATGACGTCACTATCTTTTTTAAAAATGATTACGCTACTCACGTGTCCATCCGTGTTGTTCTACAGAAATTAGAAACTTCGACGGGAGCGATAGCGACCGGAGAATATTTCTTATTTCTGTAAAACAGCTACGGATGAATACAAACATACTTAGTGTCAAGCTTCATTTGGCTTCGTTAATATTAACTTTATTTTGTCACTATACCTGTCCATTTGCATTAACGCGGTTATATGAAACACTATGAAAAATAGAAGGCTGCTATGAACGGACTTTGATATATCATCTCATCGACTTTTGTTCTTCTATGAAAATTTACACAAAGATTTTTTAAGAAAAACAACGCTTTCATTGGATGACAAATAAAGCTGGACAGTAATATTATTTATTTCAGTTTCTTAGTATATGTTCTACACATCCTCTTATGTCTTGTAAACATAACTTTTCTATTTTAAAGAAAATCAATTAATCAGAAAAGAATGCGCCGTACGTTATCATTGATATTTTGTGCGCCATACGTTATCATTTCCGGAAATGCCCCGATATTAATATTTTCAGCGGTTATTCTAGCCAGAATTGGCATGAATGTTTAGATAACGACATATTACAACTTTTTAAAGTCAGTGGATTCAGTTAATATACATATATGTAAACAAAACAGTGAATTTTAGAGAAAAAGCCGTACGTTACCACGATCAAACCGGTGGAAAATTCTCTCGCTTCGAATCTGGTGACGCGCATTTCAGATGAAGTACGGGACGAAACATCATGAAATAAAATCCTGTGTGCCAGGAAAAGTGTGGAGAAGGTTGTTATATGTACTTTAACATCAGAACATCAAGAATTTCAGAGAAAAAAGGGGAAAAACCTACTTTTTGGCTGCATCCGCCATCTTGTTTGTTTGGGTAACGAACGGCGTGATTCTCCCCCTTGAACCGTGTTAAACGTTCAACCGACCGTAGTAATAAAATTCTCCGATTATCAACGTTAACTTTCTTTCTTCATGACAAGAAATGACATTTTGTTCATATTTTTTTGTTGTACTCAACAAGGATTACAATAGAAGTTCGATTACAAAGTAACTTTTTTCCGTTAGGATAGTACCGCACACGATCAGGTACTGAAATACAGACAATAGCACCGCTAGGCGGAGCATCATATGCCCGAAAAAATTTGTTTTTTAGTAAGGATGAAGCATTTGTAAGACATGGGAATCAAATAAAGTATAACGAAATCCTCCTATGAAGTTTGAATATTATGGGCCAAATGGAACTTAAAGGACTCCACTGAGTGTTTTTTACATGACGGGACTGGAAATAATTTTTTGAGATTATTACTCCATGTAATGTAGATCTATATTAATAACTTATGTGCAAAATTTCAGATCATTAGCTTGATCCATTTTTCCAGAATAATTATTATAATAGTGAAAAATGACCCAAACTGAAAAGTGTTTATTAATAAACGCTTTTTACCCAAATCGGACCGAGAATAGCACAAACATATGATTTTCAATGAATTTTTTATATGTTTATCTAAATGAAAAATAGAATTTTATGTTTTTAGGCTTATACACCTCAGTGGAACTTCTTTAAGTTATGCTCCGGAAGATGTTTTCAGTTTAAGGTAATAGTGACCTTGAACTTTGACCTTGTAACCCAAAAATCAATAGGGGTCTTCTACCTTATTTGGACAATCATCCTATGAAGTTTGAACACTGTGGTCCAAATGGAACTTAAGTTATGCTCCGGAAGCTGTTTTCAGTTTTAAAGTAATAGCGACCTTGACCTTTGACCTTGTGACCCCAAAATCAATATGGGTCTTTCGTTTAATATGGACAATCATCCTATGAAAGTTGGATTTTGTAGGCCAAATGGAACTTAAGTTATGCTCCGGAAACTGTTTTCAGTTTAAGTAATAGTGACCTTGACCTTTAACCTTGTGGCCCCAAAATCAATAGAAATCTTCTTCCTAATTTGGACAATCATCCTATGAAGTTTGAACACTGTGGGCCAAATGGAACTTAAGTTATGCTCCGGAAGCTGTTTTCAGTTTTTAAGTAATAATGACCTTGACCTTTGACCTTGTGACCCCAAAATCAATAGGGCTCTTCTACTTGATATGGACAATCATCCTATGAAGTTTAAATACAATGGGCCAAATGGAACTTAAGTTATGCTCCGGAAACTGTTTTCAGTTTTAAGATTATAGTGACCTTGACTTTTGAACTTGTGACCCCAAAATCTATAGGGGTGTTCTACTTAATATGGACAATCATCCTATGAAGTTTGAATATTGTAGGCCAAATGTAACTTAAGTTATGCTCCGGAAACCAAATTGCTAACGGACGGACGGACAGACAGACTAACGGACGCCAGGGGGTATAACATAATATGCCCGAAATTTTTTCGGGCATATAATAAAAAGTCATATCTTATGTTTAGAATACATGTACTTTTTAAAATAATCAGCAATTTCACTAATACTAACTTAAGTTACGGTTTTTTGTGTTTCCTAACCGGTTGTTAGCTAAAAGAAAACGGTAGGATCCGTTTAAACGGTTAAACGTGACATACCTACACTTGACCGTGCACAACACCGACAAACGTATTTGCAAAATAAGGTAAGAATGATAATCAATAAATAGAAACATTTCTTGGTCGAAAAGAGATATCATCAGGTAAACTTTGTGGTACTGTTGGCATCATTTAAGATGGTGTTAATATGAACGGTAACGGAGCGCATCATAAAAAGGTACATAGCAAGAATCAACCAGATGTTATGGTCTAGAGATTTAACTTACTATAGAGATAGAGCAGTACATTAACATTTGCGGAAATCATGATCACAAAGAAGAAAAATATCGCTTATTTTCGCCAAGTCTTACATGAACAGATGAATCTGACGTCTTAAAGTGCATTTCTGCGGATTAAAAGACGGGATATTAGCGCTTTATCCGGTATACAACGGAATACAGTATTTAGGGTGGTTCTCCAACTTTTTTTCGCCTCACTCAAAGTCGAGACGCTTTTGCAAGTGCACGTGACAGAAAGTCTGTGATAAATTGACTCTTCTTCCATTTAATTTCATTGCATATTGATACATATTGCATTTTGCATCAAAATTTACTCATCTGGTTTTAACAATATGGATCTGAACTTATTACCTCACAACAAATATCCTTTTTAAGAACATTATATAATGCCTGGGTCCTTACAGACAAATTGATCCGTCATAAATGAGTTCTTTGTCTGAGAACATATTGATGTTACAGTATGGGTTCTCGTATATATGTTATGGTCTCGGCCCACTGAAATTTCGTACTAAATGTTCTATTGAAAATCAGTCACATTTGAGGATTTATTCTCGATTCCACTGTTCTTGTTGAATTATATACTGTCTTCAACTTTAAACATCAGCAATATCTAAATCAAATGAGGCCCAAAATATAATATGTTAGACATCTACTTTTTTGATTTCTTGTTAAAATCAAAGTAGGTGCTTTTTACTTTACTTTAACAATGGTTCCAATCAAATAAATATTTTTTAAATGCCATTGATGAAAAATATGTTTTTGTTTATTCAAACACAGATAAACAATATATCCAGTGATTCAATGTATTTTTGTTCATAAATAAAAAACAAATTTTGCTGAAATTCTTTGAAGATCGTTTAGCTTGTTTACTTACTATACATTCCATAAATACACTTTCATCGCTTATGACGCGGAAAATATTACAGGATTCAGCTTAGCGCATTAAGTTCCGACCGGAAGTAGGTACTAGAGAGGGCAGAAATGCGTTTGTTCCTTTCTATGAAGTATTTCCGGTTATTTTTCATAACTTACATATCGGATTTATTTGCTTTGATAATTAATATACATTCATACAGTGTGAAAAAAAGTGTTTTAAGACAAAGTATTTTTTTGTTTGATGGAGGGATGATTAAGTATTTCAGTTTGTTTTTTTATGAACTAGTACAGAACATATCAGTCATAGCTTGTTTATAAATTTCACCAACATTCAGTTTGAAGAGTTTGGAATAATTCATCTACTTTAAGTTTGAACCTCAATATCACCCTATAGTGATGAAGATTAACACAACAGTCTCAGGTAATATTTAAAATAGATATTTATTTTATCTTCTTTTTTTATCTTTACATACAAGACTGAAAAGTGCATTATCTTGGAAGAAATAAATCAGTTTAATCTAAACGGGACGATTCCTTCATGTAATGGATCAATAAATTGCTGTTACATACATGAACTGACTTTGCTCATGTCACTCGTTAGAACAACTTTCGGACAAGAGCCTCACTCGTCCTAACTTACGTTAACATACGGGCACCTGCTTAAATTCGGTAATGTTTAGAATAAAACATAATAATATGTATGGAACGCTGATACATTTGTCAAACCATTAATATCACATTGTTTTAATTCACTTTTGTTGTTGAAAATATTGATAAGGTCATACATGATGGGTAGGAAATATATGAATATGCTATGAAATAAATATTTGTTCTTTCTGTGCTCTGTTTAATGACATAGCAAAATTCCTATTACTCAAAACCCCCGTCAGTTATTGAATTTCTGTTCATTGCTGCTGAATTTCTTAAAGGGACTCCACTGAGGTTAAAAAGCCTAAAAACATAACATTTGAATTTCTTACATAAATGAGCTGGGGCACTTTAAACAGAAATATATGCAAAGATAGTTAAGAAATATACTTTGAAATAAATTGAAAATCGTATTTTTATGCTTTTCTTAGCTCAATCGCTTTTCATTTTTGTGTCATTATTTTACAATTTGAATAATTATTCTGGAAAAACGAAGTGCGCGAATGATCTGAAATATTGCACAAAGCTCAGTGGACTGAACCTACATCAAATGGTAAATTTATCTGGAAAAAATATTTTCCGTCCCATCATGTCAATAAACCTCAGTGGAGTCCCTTGTACAGCTTTCGTCTTGTTTTTATTGTCTTTCTATAATCATTGTTCGGGTTATGCAGATTTACGTGCAAAATCAACTGGTCAACAGTATATATGCCAGGCCAGACTTCGTGGATGTGCAGGCTGGCCTGGCTCTATACTGGCGGCAAAGGCTTTAAAAATCATTTTCGGTCCTAGACTAGTAAGGGTTAAGTATCTATTTGAAGGCAGATTCTGATTAACAGTCTTTGAACAAGGAAAATGTTCGAATTATAAAATTATAATAATTTTCGGAAGTACATACTTCAGATTATAATCTGTGCAGCGTGTGAAATAAATACGTGACGTATTTAACACAAACGTCCTTAAATGAACCCAACGAGGGAATACGGACATGTCGACGAATTTGAAATGTTTTCAAACGGAGATAGTATTAGAGAGGAAAACAAATAAGTTATTTGTTTATTTATTTAAGTTCCAATAAAAATGAACTTTGCTTCGCGTCATCTTACGTTTTAGACACTGCACGATTATAGCCACATAATAACATGTATATTACTCTAACAGTCTCGTGCAGTCGGCACAGCTTCACGAATTGACGATTTCATCAAAATTAACTCATAATTTCGCTATGTGCACTATATAATTTACTATCTTGACTTCATTTATTCACGATTTTAGCATCGATTTTAGCATCGTTTATTATCGAATTCTACGTTGAAATTAGTAATACATGTACATGTATCGATATTGTGACCTCGTGAAGTTGAATTCTGTTACAAAGAAATCGTGACTTCATTTACATGTAGTCACGAAGTTAAAATTGTGAAATCGTGGAGACAAGAATGTGTAAACATGATTTAATGAAGTCTAATTCATTCCAAAAAGAGTGCACATAAAAAGGCTCACGGCTAGTAACAGTGAGTTTTGCTTTTACAGACAGAGTATATGCCTTCAGTTGCAGACGACGTGGTTTTTGTATCACTGTGGAAATAGGAGATCGATGAAATGCTTTAAAAAATTTAAGTACTAATGTAAATGAAGGTTCTTTTACAATGCTCAAAAATGTGCTATTCTAGCGTTGTTAAACCACTTCACTACAAGTTTTAGGTCAAGAAATGATGTTATTAATGACATACCTATATATACGTATGTTCATCTTGAGGTTAACTTGTACCAAGAGTTCTATAAAGAGTGCATTCATTACACTTAGAGGAACTTATCTAAATATTATTAACTGTGATGAGCATTCGAGTTCTATAAGCCCTGTGACTTTGTATGAATCTGTGGTTATGTCCAAGGCACTTTATTACTAAAACACGCACAGTCTCTCAACATAGAGATGTTTGTGTTTGCTGATGAACGAGGAACCGTCGATATGTCCGAGATATTTGTTTGGGGTTTTTTTTTAAACGAAAAGGATATATATAATACAAATAAGTACGATGGCGCATACATAAGTAATTAATACTCGTATGTCACGGTTCAGAACTGTTCACTATTTAGGGGAGAAGATGTGTAAGCGGCCGGATAGCTCATTCGGTAGAGCCGCTGAACGGTGTTCCGAGGGTTCCGGGTTCGAGTCCCGGTCAGGCTGCACATTTTTCTCACCCTGTGACATTCGGCGCCCAACGGGGGACCGTGACTGATATAGCTCAGAGTTTAATTTGCATTGCTCCGTAACTCTGTGAAATTCGAGGACGAAATTCAATATAGCAGGGGGAGTATGTCACGGTTCAGAACTATGAAATATTTAGATGTGTAAGCGCCGGATAGCTCAGTTGATAGAGCCACGGAACGGTGTTCCGAGGGTCCCGGGTTCGAGTCCCGGTCAGGCTGCACATTTTTCTCACCCTGTGTACATGTATACAAATAGTGGTAACGTTACTTATATATTATAATTTATGATATATATTTTGGTTAGTATATACATGTATATAGGATTTTCCATTTTGTCCTATTAATACAGGATTTATTTTCAAAATGTTAAAAAATATGCATTTTATTTTATCATATTTCTCAATATATCATTTATAAGTATATATAAATTATTGTACAATATGGCATGACATGTTTATTTTAACAATACAGCTCTCGAATCATATGGCGATTTTGAGTTTCGTTTTCGATTTAGGCCGCCAAGTATGAACTTTGAATTATCTAAATTCTGTATAAAGCTATTGCCACTATTAAAAACTTGATATATAGAAAATTTCTCTTCGTATACGAAGAATAATAAAATATCTATTCTATATACATGTAGTTGATATAAAACTGAAAAGTAAAGAAAATAATATTGTAAAAACTTTATTCGTGAAGTGAAAGTCGTGAATTTATTAAGTTGAAACCATGTCTTTATGGAGTTAGAATTTCCCCTGTGGTGTTTTGCATGATAAATTCACTATTATTATGCAATATAATGTTAAGTCACCGCGACATTTGGTGTTCACACTATAAACATGTTTGACAAATTGATATTTACTCCATGTGCAATGACTTTGACATTCTTATGATTAAGAGGGTCAGAATATGACATTTAACATCGTATAATATAATGCAACAAAGACAATATCATATTATCTGTGTTGTTTTTTGTTTTGGCCTTGACAAGAAGAGCACGTGAGCCGGTAGTTCTGTTACTCTATAGAAAAATAGCTTTTAATAGAAAACTCTAACCTCCAAACGGATCATTAAACATAATTAAAAGAGAAAATGCATAAATGAAATATAAAAAATATATATTAGAACATATAATTTTGATACAATAATATTATGCCCAGTTAGAACATTTAAATATTCTAAATATTTTTCTTATACTTTCAACACTAGCTAGTAGCTAGCTTAAGGAACATCGTTGGTTCTACCAAGGTGCCCGTTTGTGCCCACAAAAATGCACGGAATGACATCTAATGTATTCCTCCACCAGTAAAGCTGGAACATATGACTCTTCTTTGTTGGGTGCGGCTTTAATACAAATCAAAAATCTAATTTGTACAATAATCTTCCTAAAAAACTATTTGCAGCCGGGAACCATGATCCGAAAGGAACAGAAAATAACGACACATCTACAGATACGTTTGATCAAAACTGTAAGTACATGTATTCGTTAAAAACACGTCTGAAAAGTACATAATTGCACACCAAAATCATTAGTTCAACACATATTTATTAACTGTAAATATCAAACACGTAAACTATCGGAAATAGCCAAATGATGTCGAAAATATTGTCGGTATGCAAAGTGGCAAATAAAACATAATAGTTCGGTGTGTATTTTTTAATTATTTTTGTTATCGTTCGTTTATCAAACGATTTAAAATACATTTTTATTCACTGTAAATGTGTGTTTTCCTACAACCATTGTAATATTGTCAATTAAACAATGTCCATCTACGTATGATAAATAATCAAAGTTTAAGACATTTTTAAGTGCTTGATGACTTTACATCTTATTGTTTTGAAATTTTTTGTACTTCAAACAAATAATTTCTTAAAAACATATATGGAATGAAAAAAATGGTTACATGAAAACCATAAGTCAAATTAAGTGTTCAACTGTCATTCTCTATAATCGCAGTAGAAGACAGATAAGAAAAACAAAAAAAAATCAATTCTTGAAAAACGGCAATTTGAAAGACGGCATTCCTCTTTAAGTCATTTTTACTCATTAATTTGTGCTACCCCAACTTGTGCTACCGCCCCCTAACTTGTGCTACCCCCCCCCCCCCCAACCCCTGTCAATTTACTTTTTTTGTCTTTCATCATTGAAAATCAATGATGTGTAAAGCAAGGATACAACCGTTAATACCATTAAAATAAGTCAGGAATTGAGTCTTTTTCATCATTCTTAAAGGTTTAAGGAACTATTATTTCTTGCGGTACCAAACGGTACTTCCCTATTTACAAAGTTAACATTACTTATAAAAAAATAATTCAAATATACTTTGATCGCAATACTGAACAAGATATATTAAATATCGCACTCAGGTCTTAGTTTTAAAGGGCAATAAAATGTTTAAGTACAAATTAGTCACGCCAGATAGATAATGTACGATGTAAATAAAGATAATTATAGACAGGAAGAGCTATAATGATCATTAATTTGTTATAAAAAAAGTTTCTTTCAAAAGCCCAATTTAAGAAATCGTAAGGAAAAATGATGTTTTGTTGGGTTTTTTTTTAGTACAAACTTTCTGCAGGTTGAAAAAACAAATTAAAAAAGGTATATTGGATTTTCTGAGTCGTTTGTCGTCTGTTTGTATAAAAGTTGTTTTATATTTAAATAATAAACCTCTTAAAGAGAATAGAATATTTTTGAGTACGAAATATGGATATATATTATACGTATTAAAGGCACAATATGCAAGAAAAATGCCTTTAATTTTATTCTCAAAAACTTTTAATATCTGATGTCCCTGTTTTAGTTTTCAAAAAGGTACTTTTTGGTCAGTTACCAAAACCATATTTTGCTTCTGTTCCTTTTTTACCTTAAGTACATAACAGTGATTTGGTATTTTGTGTGGAAGTTAACGTTTTTCTACTTTAATGACAAATAATTTCACATTCAGTACTACTTTCTTCAGGCGATAAGCATCTAACATGCTCTTAACTAATTTTTAAAGTTATTAAACTCATATTTGACCTTTCTAAAGAATGAAAAAATATACATCTCTGAGGCATATGTACATTTAAAGCATCTAAAACATTTTCTTATATCACATACATTGTATATCATAAATATTATGTAATTCATCAAATCACTGAAGAGAGATGAAGTTTACCCACTATCACCTATAATCCCATCTGAGCTATAAAAAATGTGAAATTATAAACCCAATTGCAATTTAGAACAATACCGAATTCCATTCGACGAGTACACAGCAGTCAAACTAATATTGGATGAGGCGCTATCCAATAGTGTTTTTTGCATCTGTGAACGGGTCCAATAAAATCAGTATTGTTCTCAACCATGTTTAATGACCTCTTTATTTCACACCATCATTTTGACAGAACTTTGTAACTTCAATTACAATAAATTTTGGACTATCAAAAATGAAAACGAGGCTAGATGGGGTGTGATATGGATTTGATATGAACTTTATGGATTCTGGAAATGTTAACAAAACTGAATTGATACGATTGGACCCGATAATGTTTTCTAATGGAACATCTCATGGTGCAATTGCTCTTATTGAACTGGTTATATTATATAAGGTGTGAGATAGAGTACTACATTATTTTACTATTACATAGATGTTAATATAACATTATGTTGTTTTTTTATTTATCTATTTTTTGTAAATTAATTATGGGAAAGAAAATACTTATTCAAAAAAAATAATTAATTAAAAAATTAATCACGTTTTATATTAATGGGCACCATACATCATTACCTCAGTGAAATGACACTAAAAAGGTACTACAATGTATTTGTCAAAGGTTCAACTTTAAACATATCATATATTATTGCCAGCGAGGATTTTTTTTCTAATATTCAGAGATTTTAGTTAATGACTATTTTTTATATTTTCAGTTCCAATGTATGTGGGTATAGGGATTGGCTCTGGCATTCTTTTGTGTCTGTTAGTTATACTGTTGATATTGATGTATAAACGAGGGTAAGTCTGTTATATTGATGTATAAACGAGGGTTTGTCTGTTATATTGATGTATAAACGAGGGTAAGTCTGGTATATTGATGTATAAACGAGGGTAAGTCTGGTATATTGATGTATAAACGAGGGTAAGTCTGGTATATTGATGTATAAACGAGGGTAAGTCTGGTATATTGATGTATAATCGAGGGTAAGTCTGGTATATTGATGTATAAACGAGGGTAAGTCTGGTATATTAATGTATAAACGAGGGTCAGTCTGGTATATTCATGTATAAACGAGGGTAAGTCTGGTATATTGATGTATAAACGAGGGTAAGTCTGGTATATTGATGTATAAACGAGGGTAAGTCTGGTATATTGATGTATAATCGAGGGTAAGTCTGGTATATTGATGTATAAACGAGGGTTAGTCTGGTATATTGATGTAGAAACGAGGGTAAGTCTGGTATATTGATGTATAAACGAGGGTAAGTCTGGTATATTGATGTATAAACGAGGGTAAGTCTGGTATATTGATGTATAAACGAGGGTTAGTCTGGTATATTGATGTATAAACGAGGGTAAGTCTGGTATATTGATGTAGAAACGAGGGTTAGTCTGGTATATTGATGTAGAAACGAGGGTAACTCTGGTATATTGATGTATAAACGAGGGTAAGTCTGGTATATTGATGAACAAGCGAAGGTAAGTCTTGTATATTGATGTATAAACGAGGGTAAGTCTGTATATTGATGTATAAACGAGGGTAAGTCTGGTATATTAATGTATAAACGAGGGTTAGTCTGGTATATTGATGTATAAACGAGGGTAAGTCTGGTATATTGATGTATAAACGAGGGTAGGCCTGGTATAATTGATGTATAAAACGAGGATAAGTCTGGTGTATTGATGTATAAACGAGGGTAAGTCTGGTATATTGATGTATAAACGAGGTTTGTCTGTTATATTGATGTAGAAACGAGGGTAAGTCTGGTATATTGATGTATAAACGAGGGTTAGTCTGGTATATTGATGTATAAACGAGGGTAAGTCTGGTATATTGATGTATAAACGAGGGTTAGTCTGGTATATTGATGTTTAAACGAGGGTTAGGGCTGGTATATTGATGTAGAAACGAGGGTAAGTCTGGTATATTGATGTAGAAACGAGGGTAAGTCTGGTATATTGATGGATAAACGAGGGTTAGTCTGGTATATTGATGTATAAACGAGGGTTAGTCTGGTAATATTGATGTATAACGAGGGTTAGTCTGGTATATTGATGTAGAAACGAGGGTAACTCTGGTATATTGATGTAGAAAACGAGGGTAAGTCTGGTATATTGATGTATAAACGAGGGTAAGTCTGGTATATTGATGTATAAACGAGGTAAGTCTGGTATATTGATGTTTAAACGAGGGTTAGTCTGGTAAATATTGATGTATAAACGAGGGTTAGTTTGGTATATTGATGTAGAAACGAGGGTAAGTCTGGTAATATTTGATGTATAAACGAGGGTAAGTCTGGTATATTGATGTATAAACGAGGGTAAGTCTGGTATATTGATGTATAAACGAGGGTTAGTCTGGTATATTGATGTATAAACGAGGTAACTCTGGTATATTGATGTATAAACGAGGGTAACTCTGGTATATTTGATGTATAAACGAGGGTAAGTCTGGTATATTGATGTATAAACGAGGGTAAGTCTGGTATATTGATGTATAACGAGGGTAAGTCTGGTATATTGATGTATAAACGAGGGTTAGTCTGGTATATGTGTAATGTATATTGATGTAGAAACGAGGGTAAGTCTGGTATATTGATGTAGAAACGAGGGTTTAGTCTGGTATTATTGAAATTACGAAACGATAAACGAGGGTAAGTCTGGTAATATTGATGTATAAACGAGGGTAAGTCTGGTATATTGATGTATAAACGAGGGTAAGTCTGGTATATTGATGTATAAACGAGGGTAAGTCTGGTATATTGATGTATAAACGAGGGTAAGTCTGGTATATTGAATGTATAAACGAGGGTAAGTCTGGTATATTGATGTATAAACGAGGGTAAGTATGGTATATTGATTTAGAAACGAGGGTAAGTCTGGTATATTGATGTATAAACGAGGGTAAGTCTGGTATATTGATGTATAAACGAGGGTAAGTATGGTATATTGATTTAGAAACGAGGGTAAGTCTGGTATATTGATGATAGTCAGATATGTTTGTTGTAGAAATGTGACAGAATAAAGGTTTATTAGGTCGATGTCATAACTTCATAATTATATATTTTTTCCTTGTTGCTAACATCTCAACAATATTTCCAAGTAATAGAAAGAGCACCGAAACACGAGGCTATCTGATTTGTACGAGGGGGCGTAGCCCCCGACTATTAATCAGATTGCCAAGTGTTTTGGTGTTCTTTCTCTTTTGTATCATAGTCAAACTTAAAAGCACGTTCCCTGTTGTCACAATATGAAACCCCGGCAAAAATGAACCAATGAACGAACATCTGAATATGACATTTCTGTCGCTTTCCCTTTCTCTGCCGTCACAATATGTAAACCCCAGCAAAAATGAGCCAATCAATGGGCATGTTCTGGAGTGCGGGTAACTAATACCCGCACTCCAGTTAACGCACTGTGCATGTATATGTATACGATTTAACCCTGACACATTTTCAACAGAAAGGTCTCCAAACTATGATACAATACTTTATGTCAAACAGTAATAAAAATGAGTATTTCGGCTGGGAATGTTTATGTAAATTTAATGTTAATTAAAATTTTACTGGAGTGTCCTTTTACGTTCCAGAACGTTCCGGAAACTACGTAAACAGAACAGTACAAGTACCCGCCGGCTGTACTTCCGGGGATTCAGTACGGTATCACAGAGGGGAGCCATAGACAGCACAGCTGAGTTCGAAATTGTGAACACAGTGAGTGTAAGCAGTGAAGATGGAGGTGAGCATGCCAGGACAAATTCTAAATCGGATTTGGCACCTAAAAAGCCGGAGCGTAAACGCACAAGAACAGCATCAAATAATGTAAAATACGAAAATGTGACTTTAGATTCGAACGCTGGTTTTGTTGTAAGGAAAAGTGTAAGCATGAGTTCTGGTATACCCTACATGGATTCTACACTAGAAAGTAGATTGTCCGAAAAAGACGAGGATCTTGATGATGTTTTCCACTGAACATTTTAATGGAAGATGAATTGACAATCAATTATCACGTCACATATAAAATGTTATGTCAGTGTGGAATACAAGGACTATTCATTTCCATGGCAACTGATTTTCATTGAAAGTGCCTCTTTACATTAAAATTGTTAAATGATATCGGATTCATGGCATTTGTTTGTTAATGACAGTGGATTTTCATGGCCGTTATTTTAAGTACTGTTGATTTTCATGACAGTTGTTTTAATGACAGTCATGTTGTTTTAATAACATATGTTTTTTAAATGTTATGTTCAAGTTTTTTTATGTTTGCGACAGTTGACATTGGATTCATAAGAAAATTGTTCTTTTCATTAGTTTCTTTACAATAAAAAGCAGTCTCATTGACAGGGGATTTTCAGAGACGATTTATATTGAGAATGGAATTTGTTCATGACTGTGAAAGTTTTCATTTAGACTTGAAATCCATATTTCATTAAACAAACCGTATTGTTGTTTTAAATTCTTTTATTTCTTTAAAATCCTTGTATTATATGCTGCTCCAATTTCCCGCCATATAGAGGGCGTAAGGACGTTACATGAAACAGCTTTATCTGTTTATTGGCTGCTATTTTCATACCATTATTAACACTTGTGTGAACTTGTGTTGATAGAAAGTCAACAATAAATCACGGAAAATGTTACATATAAGATAACAAATTACCTTACAAATAGTATAATACATCTACAAATTGATGTTGTTTTAATATAACAAATGATGACTTTTTTTCTAAGTGAACTAAAAGATTAACCGGTGTTTGAACGCATTAATGTATATAGACTTTTCACATTGGGTCAGGTAAGATGACAGTGTTAATAAGGTAAATGATTTCAAAGTAAAATAAAGTAAAACTTTGCGTACTGTTGTGATTTATGTTTATACTCCTATTGTGTTTTCTTACCTTACAAACATAATTGGTGGATAAAGCCTTTCCGTACGTCGCTGTACAGTGACCTTTTGTTTTGGGCTTTGGCTAATACTCTGTGGTAATTGCACGAAGATTAACTATCACCACTTTGCGGTTCAATATTAACTCTTTAATGGCACGACTGGTAACATGCTCTGGGTCAGTGCTCGGCTGCGAAAGCTGCTATTTGTGCAGCAACGGGAAGATAGACACTCATTAAGCATAGATTACATGCTCCTATCATTTTCAAAATAATACAAATTATAGTAAATATATATAAACATATCAATAATTAATCATTTGGGGAGAGACAATAAAGATGTCCGAACATTATGTACGTACAGATGAAAATGTTTTTTGATGCTGACATATTTTTTTCCTTTTCTTTTCTTTTTTCAAAAGCTTTATAAACATACATATAAGTTGCAAGATGTTCGAACAAAAGAAAGTTGTCTTATATTGAAAGTTGAGGCAAACTACAACATATAGATTTCATTAAAGTTTCCAAGAAACGTAAAGTTGAACTGGAGTTTTAATTATACAGAATTTAATCTAGTTCGGTTGTGTAGGAAGCTGACAGTCTAAAGACACACTCTCAAATCTGTTCCTGGAACAAAGCAACTCAAAGAAACAACGGCTTGCCACTGGCGGGATTTGAGCCCAAGCATTTAGATATTCTTAGATTACTAGTGCGACGCGTTAACCGCTCGGCCATGCCGCTACTGCAGTTGTGGCAATGTTTCTCATTAAGCGAATTTCTTTCATGATGAAACAGTCCATTTCAACGCTAAATTTGCTATTAACTGTGAAAAGACGCCACAACTATAGTTCAACTTAACTTCATCAACTTCATGCTTTTTGGAAACTTTATCAAATCTTGACGGTACATGTATAGCAGTCTTCAATTGCAGAGCTTACCAAAATATATAATAAGACAACACTCACACTCAAAACTCAGCGACATGCACTGGTTCCTGGTTCGAAAGCTGCGATAGAGCAATTTACCGTGTCATAGTAATAATAATAATAGTAGTTAATTAATCTTTTTAAATCTTTATTAAGAGAAGGTATCACTCTGGTGTTAAATAGGCGTGGAATGAGACTCAGGTGTTCGAACATGTTCGCGCAAACAAGGAAATGCAAGAAAGACCGGTGTAATCAAGGATATGGGTTTGCACGAATGCAAAGGGGCAAACGAAGCAGGCATGCTTCTGAAATTGCGGCAGGCTTCCACAAACAAGACAAGTGTGCCTCCATAAATGAGGCGGACTCGCAAAGGACAACCACAGAGTAATTGCTGCTATACGTAAAGACTGAAAAGAAATAATTGGAGTTGATATATCGTCGCTTGAAAAACGTTTTGTTCTAAGTGCCATTTTGTTGTTTTTTAGAAAAAAGCATGTAAAGATTTAGTATTGCATAACTTTTTTATTTATTGTCGGATTTTGAAAATTTAAAAACTACTAAACGTGGTGTCAGAAGAATAACTCAATATCGTTAAAGATATATGGATTTTAATATTTCCTTGCTTAAAAACCTAAAAAAACATTTGGAGATAGAACAGTCCTTGTAACTTTTTTCAAAAATTGTTGAAATCAAAGTGTTTAATGTGACTTAGAACATTATGTCTTTTAACTTAATTGCTCTCGGCTAATCATCCCTTGATTAGTTGACGTTGACACTACACTATTTCTTAGACCATGTGTATCTAACTACATGAACTATGACATTCGTAATCTTATTAAAATCCTTAAATCCATTACATAATTAAATGACATTTAAACAAATAATTTAAATAAATAAAGATAAAATACCCACATAAAGTTATAAACGGGAAAAGAAAACTTTCAAATTTTCTAGAATGCTTGGAGAATCTTTCAAGATTTTTTTTATGAAAATTCAAAAGATGGTCAAATTCAAATTCCTTCCAAAAGTTTGAAATAGCAGTAATTATTTTGTTATGCGCTTTACACGTTCTGTGTGTTGGTAAGAAGTTTTATAATTGAAGGTATGTAAAAAAATGTTTCTATAACTTGAATAGGCAATGAGATCATATCTGCTAGAAAAGACCTTAAAGGTGGAGCAGGCATGACTTTGAAAAATGTGAAATTTAAAGATTGTTCGTGTACAAAAACATTACAAACATAATGCTATATAAATAATCATTTAGAAATTCAGACAAACAAAATATACGTATAAGAATATTTTTCTTCCTTCTGTATTTGGTATAAAATGTGTTTACTTTAATTTAAAGCAATCTATTAGTTATATAACATTAACGCATTCGAAAACATATATTATATGTAAACGTATAATATCTATAAATTTTCTTAAAGGCCTTTTTGCCCCAGAAATGCTTTTATCTTAATCTCTCAAAAGCCTGATATTTGGAGTTTCTGTTATAGTTTCCAAAATATTCTACATTGGTCAGTAACCTAAAACCATCTTATGCTTTTGTTTCATATTGGCAATGAGTACAAGTCAATTTTTTAAACTCATATGGTCTGTTATAAAGATAAATTATTGGTTTCTGAGACAGAATGTATTTACGTTAAAGAAACTTAGGAACATATAACACATTTTCTTTGTTACGAATTTGTTTGATGAAATTGTATGATCACAGTTGTTTCTATCCGAAAATACACATCCGAAATTACTTTCAAATCATGATCAGTTTTGCTTGTTGTTTAATCACATGCATTAAATTTACAGGACTTAATACTAAACTGTCAATGATTGGAGGGAATAAATGAATACATAATATCATTCATTACTTATATTTAGTATTAATTTGTTAAATAAACAACAAACCATCTAACTCAAAATGTTTCGTACAACATGGCGGGTGTCCTGCTAACACGTGATTTGATGCTATGTTTTGATACGATAATTTAGGATTTAGAACAGTATATTGCATATATCCCACAGGTCACGTGACATTTACCGATGATATGATTAGTCCAGTAAGTTAGAACAGTCTATTTATCAAGACATAGTAAATTTGTGGAGATAGAACAGGATGGTTTTGTTGTAATTTATTTATGAAGCTCTGAAGCACAAATATAACATGCCAAGGAGATAGAACAGTCCATTACGGACAAAATTGTGTATTTAACTTGTTTTTGGAAAATTTGGAGATAGAACATTACAGTTTTCAAGCGACGATATGCCTGTTTGTTTGTTTGTCTGTTTATTTACAACAATATGTGTCAGAACATGCTTACTATATATAAATTAACCGCCGCCCTCGCAGTTGATTTTATTTATAGCAATATGGCTGAATACATGTGTAACGAGACGTCAAAACCTATTTGCATTAATGGCTACATTTATAAAGACACACATCTCATCTTTACGTGTGCACTTTTAATCAAGTCCACTTCCGTCTTTTATAAGGCCTAAGTTTCTGCATCACATTCTGTGATTTATCTTGAAGTAGATTTGTAAATGAGCCAGTAGATTTGTAAATGAGACGTGGTCTCGGGGTCAGATACCATTCAGCCTCTCTCATCTTGTGACACAATGTTCACAATACTTGCGGATTCAAAACCTTTAACCTTAAATCGTAAGAATTAACATTCAAAGCAAAGGTCATTCAGTTAAAAAAAATAAAAAAAGGAGGAAACGGTGCATATTACATTCTTTATTAAGTAACGTAAAAAAGTTAAGTTTCTTGTAACATGATACAAGTTAATTGTTGCTCTTTAATGAATCGAAATTCCTTAATTGGTTATTCTTAGTTTTCAGCGTTGAACTTTAATGTAATTTAAGAAAGTCCAAATTAACATATATCGTATTTTCTGACAGACAAAGGAATTATATAGAAGACTGGTTGGTATATAAGTTACCACGTTCAAAAGCTTGTTACAAAATCTCGCAAGGGAGATTGTTAGAACGAATTTATTTAACACTGACAATAATACAATATTTCAGTAACAAAATTTTATTTATTTATTTATTTATTTATTTATTTATTTATTTATTTATTTATTTATTTATTTATTTTAATGTTGTTTTTTTTAATTATTATATATTTTTTTCGTATTTCGTATTTTTCCTAAAATTTGAAGCAATGCATGTTTTGCGGTTTAATTGAGACACCTCTTAAACCCTCCATAATTTCTCCTCACATGGCTACCTTTCTCCTCATATGGCTACCTTTCTCCTCACATGGCTACCGTTCTCCTCACATGGATACCTTTCTCCTCACATGGTTTTATTTATTAAATCTATACTTGCATATAAAGCTATAACATTAGAAACAATTAAGGCTATTTATAAACGACCCAGCCATTGGCTCCTCTATCGCATTGCAGAAAAATAAACACGAACTCTTCCTATCATTAACTTTAAAATTTAACTATGTAAATAGTATCATATACGAGGAAGAAAAATAATTATAATACTATATTATGTAAAATCTGTGGTATTAAGTTTCTTTTTTGAAACTTAAGAATAATGTGTTGAATTTAGTACACTTATGTGCACCGTATAAGAGGTAACTTTTATATTCTTACTGGATTGCAACTTTGTAAGTTGTAACATAATAATGTAAATGGATTTTGGGAATGTTTCGTTGTTTTCTGAATGGTAAGATTTTTTTTTTTTTCAAAGTAAAAGTAATAGAAAGAACAGACTATCTGATTTGTACGAGGGGGTGGGGGCGTAGCCCCCGAGTATATATCAGATTGCTGAGTGTTTTGATGTTCTTCCTCTTATGTATCATAGACAAAAGTCAACGTTTTTCCTCAACAAACATTGCAGTAACTAGAGTGCGGGCAACTAACATCTGCAACCCAATAAACACACCGTATTTATGGGCATACGATTTAACTTTGACACATTTTCAACAGAAAGATCCCAAACTATGATACAACTACATTAAGTGTAAGTTTTATAACAGTAACAACATTATTATTGATAATGCTTTAAGAAATATTTTATGTAGGCAAAATTGAGGCCAGTCCAGGTTGAACACTATCGGTGCGATAGGGGTTAGGTTGATGCCTAATATGTTACATCATCCAACCAATAAATGGACTAAATTATTTAATCTTCATTTTTGTTAACTTAATTAAATTAATGTCATTTATCCGGCACATTTACAGAGTTTGTAAACATTAAAATGTATGTAGTTGCAACATTGGTTTTGGTCCATAAGATATATAGATCTATATTACATTGAATCTTGTGAGTCAAGTTGAATTTGAAAATATCATGAATGAACTATATCAGGCCTGTAGAGCTATACTCATGAAGACTAATCGTGAACTTTTATAAAACAAGTTACAGTTATAGTTTTGAGATAAACGGACAATGTCGACAATCAGGCGTCATTCCTACAATACATGTACATACATTCTTTATCCATTATCTAACGACCATGACACAATCTTCCGTTATTTTGCAAGACTAATATTTTATCTTTAAAGCTTCTATACCATAGATTGTGTGTCAAATGCTTTTGTGAGTATTTTACAGCAAAAATAGCAAATACACACTTCGTTTTTTGTTGTTGTTTTTTTGTCATTGGAAAAGACATTTAACCTCTTCATAGCGTCTTTTCTGTAGGACAACTGTTTTTGGTAATAATTTTGCTCCGCCCATTGTTGACTCGTTTAGGGCACACGTATTCTTTTAATTGGGGACCATACGCCGCTTTTCATGGAATGCTACTAACGTGTCTTTTGAAAGTTCCATGAAAACTGCCTTGTGAACACATCTGGGGATGCTTTAAAATTTAGAATCTTACCATTTCATGTTTTATGTTGAATACTGCTTAAACCGGTGCTAGGGGGCGTGGACGGTAACTTACACTCTCCAGTACCGCCCATGAACAGGCTCAATCACCCAAGTCTGCAACATTTTCAGTTTTGCCGTTTTGGGCTTTCTTGAAGATATTCTATTTCATTATACACTATATCTGCTAGATAAAATATCTATGATCATTATTGCTTCTAGTATAAAAAAAGCTTTTTAAAAAATCAACTAGCAGATCTATTTGTATATGTAAAGATATAATTATTGTGTACATAAACAAGTTTTGTTAATGAATAAATGTGATTTTAAAATTGCTGTTGTTGTTGTTGTTGTTGTTGTTGTTGTTGAGATAATTTATGCACCAAAGAAGAGGAAACAGAATGTATTCAATTAAATCATATAATGCTAGCCTCTGTCAGATTAGGGCAATGGTCTTTTAACAATAATTATGATTCTTCCTCGTTTCTTCTACTATTAAATGTTCAAGTAGAGCGCGGTATAATATACATATATGAGAAATATCACACAGTACTTCGGGCGTCATAGCATTATAATGACCTTAAGGTCAGCCCAAATCATTGTACGGACCTCAGCCTCACTGAGAACCTCACTGTTGTGTAATATTTCCGCAATATGACGTCAGATGTGACGTCAGTTTACCAAATGACGTCAAACAGTTACTTCTCTTGTCACGGTTTTTCACTTATTTTACAGTAAAGATCTATCAATTGTCTTTCTGAAGCGTTATGGAAGTGTGTGACGAATGATGACGTTTGGAAACGTACCATGACGTAACATTAAAGATTCAAATTTTTATGCCCATACCTATGCCTCTAAATATTCGCAAAAACACTGATTTCTGATTAAAATAAATGTTTCTCCTTTTAAGGAACATCTGTCACCAAGCTGCTTTAAAAGTTGCCTGATAAAAGTCTGCTGATTTTCAGACTTGGGTTATTTGTAAACTACTCTGAGAGAAATGTTGAAGTTTTTATGTTTATCTGTGTTGGTGGCGGCGGCCCATGCCATAGTATGCCCACCAAATGCGTGCCAGATGGTAAGATGTGCAGCCGTTACTGCTGAAAGCTGTGGGGGTACAATCAAGACAAACGGGGGGTTCTGTGGCTGTTGTGATGCCTGTATCACTGAGTTAGGTATGTATAATAACTTTTTTTCTGGATTATAATTGTAGAAGCATTTATTACTGAACATTACTTTAGAAGTGCTATCTATGAGACATGGATGATATTAAAGAACGAGGGTAAAGGGATTCGATTCCACGGACGATTCGAACACAAATTCCTTAAAAATAGACGCTTTAAATCTTCATTTTGTGATTAATAGTATAAAGATATTTTATAGGTTAATACTTTCTTTGTAAATTTCTTAATTGGCGTTCTGCACTTTCATTGATGGAACTGTACATAATCAGATGAAAATTAAGTTAGTCTGAAAACAGTACAGAGCCTGATGAATTTACATGGCTGACCTGTCTCTATAATGATGGCTGACCTGTCAATATAATGATTGCATAGGATAATCATTTTCGGTCCCAGGAGAGGTGAACCATCGGGTATTTTGGACCGCACATCATTATAACATTTAGAAGTATAATTCCATTAAGTTCTTCAATTAGAAATGACTATCAATCGTCCTTTTTTTGCTGGCTTCCACCTAGTTCCTGTACATTTAAGTGGATATTATTATTTTTTGCATGATGTGAAATTTAGGAGAATCATGCCACTGTTTTATGATAACCTTAAGAAAAAATAGTCAATACGTAAAATCATAAAACCTGTTTATGATATATTTTGTAGAAGTTAACTATAAATTAAGGATGAAAAAAATCCCCTGATCAACATGTGAGCATATTTTAGTTGTTAATACTACTTGATTCATCATAAAATGTGGTTCCAAAACTCCCGACAACATTTTATTGATGTAGGATATTTTGGGACACGTGAATATCAAATTTTTATTATGTTATTAGATGGTTAAAACGGTTAGCAATAGAAGATGTATTGAATATTTACGTAAAAGTAAAGATCAAATTCCTATATACAGTACTTAAATTTTGACTACGACTTAATAAATAGGCGATAAATTGCGCGAATACCATAAATTTGTTTAATCAAAATGAATTTATTGTTCGGTAGAGATAAAATCATTGCCACACATAGCTCTAGTAGGTTAAAACATGATCTTTCCTTATCAGAACATTGTCCTTACACATCATTAGGTCAAAGTATGGAATTATAGAACCACTTTAACAACCAGATATATAACCTGACACATTAAGTGAGACTAAAAAAAGGATTGGAGCACCACACTAAATACCGTATTCCGGTATATACCAGACAAGGCGCTTGATTGATAAAATGCTAAAATCTTGCCTTTTCAACCAACGGAATGAACTTTAAAAGGTCTTATTCATCTTTTCACACCAAGTTATGTATTATAATTATGTAAAAATGTAAGAATCGGCGAAAAATAAAACACGATATTTGTCTATTTATTGCAAGCGTCTAGAGGTACTGCTCCAGTCCTGTATTGAGTGGAATGTTTTTAATTTAGAACAGTCCATCAAAATAGGGATTTCGTAAAAAAAACAATTGGCCTTAACATTTTTTACCATTTAGACAACAAAAAGGCTGACTGGGTTAAACTTAAAATGTTATAAATCTGGGTTAAAGGCCCAATTTTTGTCTGATATGTTTTCATTTTTATTTCTCAAAACCTTTTTATTTTTGGTTTTTGTTACAGTTTCCAAAAACATTTCTTTCATTTGTATAAAATAATTAACATTTGCCTCTTTTGCATTGGGGAAATTTATTTGGGGAAAAATTTTGTTTTCTTTTTACTTCAATTTAATATCACATAACTGCCTTAAATTTTCTCATTTGTTTAACATCTATAATGCTCTAAATCCATTATTAAAACATTTTAAACACATGTTTGACATTTCTAAAGAATTGAAATAAATAAGGATGTCTGAGGCATAATGTGTCTTAAATGTTAAAACACAAAAAAAAATATAACGAGCTAAAACATGATATAATTTTACAATTCCTCCTTTGACCATTTTTGTCAAATGTGCAAGTCATTTAAAGTTATTAAAATGTGATATTTCCATTCTTGAGCTTGGAAATTTAAGACATTTTGGCCAATTATTCTAATAAAAATAACGAATGGACTGCAGCCATGATACGGATTGTCCTACAAGAAGGTCATTTGGGCCGTCGTAAATCATTGTGTGGAAGGCAAAATACCTTTGAGCAAGTTTTTAAGTTGATTATGGGGAAACAAGTCCGTGAAAATTACATTGCCAGTACAATGTACTTTGATGAGCGGAACATAAAATAATCTGTACAACAGATAAGATGGCTGTCGTCTGCGTTTTGACCTAAAAAGAAGACACATAGGTTATACACTTAATTGTTGTAATTCATCACATGGACAAACTGAATGTCACATTTAGGAACACACAAGTTATAAACGCGCACCACGCTCAACTGTAATTTTCACGGATTTGTTTCCCCATAATAAACTATACATAATTAATGAACGGCATGTCTTTTTTTTTAAATGAAGTGCACTTTATGCCCGGTTCTCACGTGTTAGAAATGATTTATATAAAATATCATCATATTCAAAAATAAAAACATTAAGTTATATTTGAGATTTTTAAAGTACATTAATAAGTATAGGTTAGAGTGCATATTGGGTGTTCTTCGTAAATAAGAAAGCTAAAAAGGAGCGGAGCTTGCGAAGCGACTGTAGCTTTCTTATTTACGAAGAACATTCAATATGCACTCTAACCGGCTTAGTGCTCCGCCCACTTGCGTTTTATAATATAAAACGTCCAGTTTATATAATATCTGTTCTATTAGGATTTGAAACCTGAAAATTTGAAAAATCCTCGTCGGTGATTGGTTTAAAAAAATTGGCGAGCACTAATTATAATATAAAGATAATTATAACAAAAAGTATCTTTAAAAAAGATACTCGGTGGGACATGCAAAATTATGTTATTTCTAAGTTTTAAATACCAAATAATGCTTGCATAACAATGGCATAATAATTATTTCTTGTAGCTAAGAAAATGCCTGTTTTGTAAACATTGAAATTAAATAATAGCATATTGATATTGATGATTTTTCAAAGTAGGTTAATTTCTATTTCAGGTGTCCCTTTTGCTTGTTATAAATTTTGTAATCATATACATATATATCTAAATTTTTATTTTAGAACTATCCTTTACATTTTTTTTTTAAATAGTGGCAAAACTATCCCTTACATTTTATTTTAGAGCTATCCTTAAAATGTTATCTTAGAATGGTAAGAAATAACCCTTTCAATTTGTCTTAGAATTTGTTTGAACTATATATATCCTTTACATTTTATTTTATAACGACCAATGAAAAATATTGTTATATTCAGTCCTTCGCTGTTAATTTTACAGGAAGTCAAACTGAAAACAGTCCGAAAAATTCATGAACTCAACCCTGTATTATATGTAATAAGAGACATAGACATTCGTGTCATTGTTCAGTGTTACCTACATATATCATTTTGCACTTAACAATTGAAAGTGACGTTTTGTTACCTCAATAACGCTAATTGACAATACATCAAAGCTGTGCTACAACTGACAAGCACGGACATGTGATGAAAAGCTTTGATATAGTACGACTTACGGACGTATTTATTATATTTACTTACAGCGGAAGGTGAAAAGTGCATGAGTACTTTATTCCTTGGTGTCCCATCAACAACACAGTGCGCTGATGGCCTCTTCTGTGACTCTAAAACTAGCACGTGTCAACGTATGAACGTAAAGAGAGACGTTGGTAAGTTTAATGTGAGGTATATATATGTATGTGAGGTCAACCCGGAATTCCCGCAGACTTTTGCATTCTGCAGAAAATCTTATACCTCAGGCTTTACGAAAGCTATTTTGAACTATGTAAAATAAAACATGTGACATACACAATTGATAGCGTATGCGGGCTTGGCATGACGTCGTAACGTCAGTCGGTGTTCTTAAAACGTTGCGTTTTAAGTGTTCTTAATGAAGTTTGCACTACATTATTTCAAAAAAATATTTTGAATTATTCCATATAAAACCACGTTCTTTACACTGAACGTACTTGATGTGCAATGTCCCATATATATTTAGATTTTTATCTATGTTAATTCAATATTAATTAATGCGTGTAAACAAGCATTTCTGAAATTCACTTATAAATTCATTAAATAGCTATGCGTTATGGTTAAGAAAACAAAAATTCATGAGCAAAACAAAATCGTAAAAAATATAAAACTCCAAAGCGGTGTATGGCAATTGTGAACGTATGTACTGTAAATGTGCATTATCAACATAATTATCTTCCTTTCTATGATTTCATATGTAAAACATGTCACAGAAATTTGTAAGATTATATAATGTAATTTGTGGTGGGTTTTTTTAAATTTCAACGCTTAATCAACTTAACATATTTTAAAACAAAACTTTTTCAGCCACGTGCGCCGATAAGTTGGCGGCAGTGAATGCTAGACTTACAGCACAACCCATGTTGCTCGGACTTGAGAAGCCCCACTGTGAGGTCGATGGTACATATGAAGGAATGCAGTTTGCTGGCTCTCAGTAAGTTAATTTTTCATTAATACCTTTTATATTCATAAATAGTATTCTGCAACTGCGCAACACTAAGAATAAACTGCTTGGATGATACATCCACGTATTGAATCTATATTGAGAATTGAGCATACGGACATACTAAAAAGCCACATTTTACTTTAAAAATGTTATAACAACTTCTATCTATGTTACTTTGTATTATATTAAGCTATAGTTACACAGAAAAATATTTTGTTTATGTTTACAGTGCAGAAAGAACGATATGTTTAGATACATGCCCGTATATGATCAAAAGATAAAAGAATTCATGTGAATGAATATTGCTACACGTTACATTACATAATTATATCTTTTGATCTCTGATTTATCGCAGATTTGGGAATTCATACATACATTTTCTCTGAAAATAATAAAATAATAATTGATTATATCTATTGTCTTGAAATATTGAAGTCATGCTTATAAACAGTAATTTACAATGTTTTATAGAGCATATTGTGTCACCTCTGACGGTTCGATGATTAGCGGTTACATGGTGAACAGATGGGAAACTGGAGATCACATGGACTGCCGTATGTATTATTACGCGAATTATTTCTTTAGGTGATATGAACTGTCGCAAGCTATTTTTTAGCTGACGTGAACTGCCATATGCATTATTACTCGAACTATTTCTTTAACTGACATGAACTGTCATATTCAATATTGTTCGAACTATTTCGATTCTTTGACAAACTATAGAACCGGTAAATGTATTATGACGCAAACTATTTCTTTAATTAACAAGAACTGCCTTATAGATTATAATTCAGCGACATATTTCTTTAACAGCCATATACTGTCTTTCGTATTATTTCACGAACTACATTTTGAATCGAAATGAACTGCCGTTTGTATTATTATTAAGTGAAGTATTTCGTTTACTGACATTAACTGCCGAATATGTAATTTTTATAACGCGAACTATTCTTTATGTGGCATGAACTGTCGTATTCATAATCAGCAGGGTTATGGCATCTTTTCACAGGCGTGTATTATAGATAAATGCGCGTTCATATTCAAAAAAAAATGTAAACGTTTGTCAAAGCCTGTCCCTGTTCATTAAAGTTAATGTTTTTCAAACTATGATATTTTTGAACTACACAACAATCTCTGAATGAAGACAATGAACTTGGTTGTAAGTGAAAAGTTTAAAGTTTTGCTGGGGAGAGGTTTGATTTTGTTATGTAGCCATACATAAATAAGAAGAATTTATACTATTGCTTTAATAAAAAGGTACTCGTTCTGCAGGGGCTTTACTGTTAACAGATTAGTTTGACCTTTATCTAAAACTTTATTTCATGATTGACAGTAGGTTTCTAATATCAATTGTTTTATTTTTATTTCTAGCTACTGCCGACTCAAGTTCAGATCTAATTAAAGGTCCATTATACCTCAGAAAGGATTCTATCTTTTTTTCATTTTTTACCATTTTTTTTCTTTTATTATTTAATATTATTATTATTATTATTATTATTATTATTATTATTATTATTATTATTATTATTATTATTATTATTATTATTATTTATGTCCCATTATAATTTCGAAAAGTCACTGGACAATCACCTGAACAATCTTTTCTTTCTGTTCTTTTTTGCAATAAGTACATGTACATGCATTCTGAAAGAGTATTTTGTATGGCAGTCAAAATACTACTTTGTTAACAATTTGCTTCTTTTCTATCAATATTTTCACATTCAGCACTACTTTTTCTTCAAATAATAAGAATCAACTATGCTCTTATACTATTATGTAAACGTTATAAAATTTATTTTTGACTGTTTTATTAAATGAAATTAAATTTATTCGCTTTCTGAGGCATAAAGTGCTTTCAAGTTATTTCTTGAATTAGGAGCTTAATTTAGTCAGATTGAGCTACAGCCACACCTGGTGATCGCCCGTTCACAGGTGTTCGGTGTGAGACACATATAAGCATACCATTATAGAACCATATTTTCCATGTTTACAACACATATCATGTATTAAAAAATAATTGAAACAAATGTCGGTATATATTAAAAGAGACAAGGTATGTAACTCCGTAGTCCGGAGAAGAAAAAAAATTCGGTTATTCAGTTCAACAAGATTCTCATCGTCGGATACCCACGATTAATAAACATGTTACATATCATGCAACAAATGTTAATGGTTCGGCCGTGGGTATCCGACGATGCAAGATCCTTTGAAGATATTTTTGTTCGATTTGCAAAAATTTTTAATATATTTAATATTTATATACCCAACATTTTTTTTAGACAAATGTGTATAAAACATGGGCAAAAAAGTTTTATAATGTCTTACATAATGCTTATATGTGTTACACGTTGAACGCCTGTGTCAGCGATAACTTCATTCACTTGACATGCGCGTGATCGGCCGTATAGCTTCCGTTTTATGATTGCCAGATTGCATTATAAAATACGGAAATATCGGTTCAGCTGCACTGTTGATTTTATATGCCGGTTCACCTCTTACTGACTTTTGAAGTAGGCATAATTGTTTTTTTACTGCATCTCATGTAATAAAACAGTAATAACTAGACGTTACCATGATGAAACCGGTCGTAAATTATGTATATGGAATAAAATTACAATAATTATTAATAAAGAAATTTATTGATAGTCTATCACCGTACACTATAAACTTCACTTGCTATCATAGTGCATGCGCACTTTGCCCTTTACAAAAGGTCCCCACTTTTCGTTATATAAAATAAAAACCGCTTGAAAATATTGCAAGGGAAAATTAACCTACCGTCCACCTTGGTTTGAAGAACTTGGCATCTAAAGATATGGAATTGAGCCGTTCATAATATACAGGTACTTGTGCTCAGATAATACTCAATTATCCCCGCCAATACTCGATTATCACCGTCAATACTCGATTATCCCTGCCAATACTTGATTATCCCTGTCAATACTCGTTTATCTCAGTCAAAACTCAATAAAATGAAGAACAAACATAATGGGTTTGCGACCAGCATGGATACAGACCAGCCTGCGCTCGATTATCCCTGTCAATACTCGATAATCCCTGTCAATACTCGATAATCCCTGTCAATAATCAATTATACCCGTCAATACTCGAATATCCCTGTCAATACTCGATTATCCCTGTCAATACTTGATTATCCCCGTCAATACTCAATTATCCCCGCCAATACTCGATTATCACCGTCAATACTCGATTATTCCTGCCAATACTTGATTATCCCTGTCAATACTCTTTTATCTCTGTCAATACTCGATTTTCCTTATCAATACTCGATTATCCCTGTCAATACTCGATAATCCCTGTAAATACTCGATTATCCCTGTCAATACTCGATTATCTACGTCAATACTCGATTATATCTGTAAATAATCGATTATCCCTGTCAATAATCGATTATCCCCGTCAAAACTCGATTATACCTGTCAATATTATCGATTATCCCTGTCAAAACTCGATTATCCCTGTCAATACTCGATAATCCTTGTCAATGCTCGATTATCCCTGTCAATATTCGATTATCCCTGTCAATACTAGATTATCGCTGTCAATCCAGCTGAGGAATACCTCAGGTGCCCTTCCGTACATTATTTCAGGCACGAACGGGCACCTGAGTAGAACCACCGACGTTCCGTAAGCTAGCTGGATAGCTTCCTCACATGAAAGAATCCAAAGTCCCTGTCGGGATTCGAACCCACAGCGGTGAGGGGCAAGTGATTTGAAGTCAACGACCTTAACCACTCGGCCACAGACGCCCCCACAGATCTTGGTCTGCATTTGTAGAATGTGTTGTCACCTGTAGACTTACGGTTAACGATGTCTAAATGTCGTTACAGAATGTGCGAGGGATCAATATGCATACCAGCAGACCGGTCTAATTGGTAAAATGTTTTACTGTGACAAGAACGGTAACTATGCATCAGTGGGATGTTCGGGATCTGTGTGTTACTGCCAGGACAAAATGGGCAAACAAGTTGGTACATCAACAGTTGGAATCTGGGAGAAAGATTCTATGAACTGTTAAAAATACAGTACGTGTGTTTGTGTTATTTGCTTTGCATTTTACATAAAGTTTAAAAGTTGTTGGTTCCTACATTGTACGAGTATTAAACAATTCGGTTGCCAAAACATTTTAAACATCCAATATCAATCAAAACGAATATTGACCACATTAAAATGTTACCACGGCAGCAAGTGACAATCTTTTTAACAATATGACAAGTTGAGTGATAGAAATTCTTTATAAATCTGCCATTACAATATGTTAAAATATGTAACGAAATATAATCACTTCAAATGATACCAGAAAAACAAACGTCATAGATAATCTTTTAAGTTAATATTAGTAATGAAGATCCAGTAATATCACTGGTAGTTAGTTACAGTTTTCAACAAAGCATAGGGTTGAACTAGTTTCAGTCATATTTATTTGATGGAATTTACATGTGCTTTTTTACTAATTGCAAGACTGTATGTGTGTGGTGAACTAGGGTGTAGTATCAGATTTTCTATATTATATCATCGTTAACTTTTCTTTTCTTCAGGTAAACAAGATGAACATTGATGTCTATAATGAATCAGATGTTGAATTGAAAGTAAAAAATAAAGATCACTTACACTATAATTACGTCAATTTATCCATTATTTCGTTTGAAAATAAAACATTGCAAATTATGTGTTTACAAGATTCTATGTAGCGATGTCAAAGTGGTAGCTCAGTATCAACCTAGAGAATGAAGGTTCGAGCTTTACGCAGGTAACGATTACAAGACCTCATGTGAGGACACTTGTACTTGCTGGTTTAAGGAAGCAGGTTTGAATTTGATTGATATAACTTGCAAGAACTTGACGAATATTTCAGCTTGAATATGTTCACACTTAACAAGATATAATGTATAGACGTCGTTTGGCATTATGCTGGTAAATTATTATCAGTGTGTGTATCCTATGCCCACCCGCTCTTTCCGGCACTGAGAGTACGGACCCCTACATTATTATGACAAGCAACAAAGTAAAGGAAGGGGGAGATAACTAGGAGGTAAAGCCGGAGTTATTTGTAGTCAATTACGAGGAAAGTACTGAATTAAGTGATTTTACTATACAGTGACATTTGAGCCGCGTCATGAGAAAACCAACATAATGGGTTTGCGACCAGCATGGATCCAGAAGGGCCTGCGCATCCGCGCAGTCTGATCAGGATCCTTGCTGTTCGCTATCTATCATTTTCTCTACTTGTTATAGGGTTTGTAAGCGAATAGCATGAATCCTGATCAGACGGCGCGGATCGGCAGGCTGGTCTGGATCCATGCCGGTCGCAAACCCATTATGTTGGTTTTTTTCATGACAGCGCTTATTTAACATTCATTTCTCACCTTGCGAAACACTTGTTTCCGAGATCAGTCATTATTTATGTATGCAAGGTGGCACGTGCCCTGTAACACAACTACTTCTATCTATGTACACTGTATATAAAAGTGCACACGGTAGATCTCTATAATTTATTATCATGACAATGTCATATAAAAAAGAAAACTTTGTCCTCTTTAACCTACAAATTTAAGTGCCCCAAACTTGTTTTTTTCTAGAAACATTAATGCGAAAACATGACCAGATTGACCTCGTAATAATCATAATGTGTACTGGGCCAAATGTACTTCAAAGATGACTAATTGCTGCCTTATTTGTGGCAAAAAAAAAAATTATCATCAAAAAATAGAAATCATTACGCCAGCGTTTACTTTTCGAAATATAATTCTGTAAAAAGTTCCAAATTTTAATACATTTTCAACATATGATGTATGCAGATATTTAATTATATTTTCTCATGCAGAATTACACATAATGGAGTTGGTTCCTTCCTATGTTTAAAAAAAAAATTTCATCCCAACCATTTATAAAAAGCTTTTATTAAATACCGTTATAAAATTGTTCTTAACCAAAATTGGCAACTGAGCAAATAGCACAATGGTTCGTTGATACTGCTGACTGACGTAGGTTGTGTGTTCGATCCTTAGCTACTTTAAATGAATAACTAGTGTATAATTTGACATCAATGTAAATAAAAGCCTGTGGTAATTTCTTGAACAAACCATCCCAGTTTTATTTGTTTTAAATCATTACTTTAACTAGCACTGTACTGGAATAAGTCAACTGTTTGGGATTTCAGGTATTATATAAATGATACATATAACGAGCCCATATCATATAAATACACAGCTACACTTCTAAATCATAGAAAATATCACCTGAGGTGTGATAAGAAATACAAAGTGTGACACATTTTTCTTTTTTATGCATTTCTTTTCTAAAACAGCATTTAGTATAAATATATATTATATCTGATAGAAATTAACCATTCATTTTGATAAATTATCTAATTAAAATTTAAATGTTGACTTCATAAATATCAAAAGATCCAAGGGAGCAAATTCTAAAATATTGAAAAATTATGCTGTTCACAGTTGTACCCCTTGCATTTCAAAAATTAGTGTTAGAAATGATACTGAAAAAAATGATACATGTACTTTGGCAAGAATGTTACAGTTGGCAGTAAAACAATGGTTGGCAAAAGATAATCTCCAGTTTTTGACAAGATTAATACATTAACAAAATAACTTAACACATTACAGGTGGAATAATTGTCAAATAGCTGGATTTATAAATCAATCTAAACAAAACACCCTCATTAGCTAAAATATTTCACAGCCTTTTTCTCACAATAGTTATCTCAAAAATTATTATCTATTTTTCTTAAAGTCAATTTTGATTACATTAACTTGGGGAAATTTTCAACCAAATTTCTTCCATAAGTATTACACTGTATATTAAACTTACTTAAACTATCTTAAGATAGTAAATGTATTTCTTCAACAGGCATTAACAGTTAAAGGAATATTTCTTTTTGAATTTTCAAGTGATAAAATTAAATCTAAATGCAGAATAATTGAAAAAAGAAAATACGCTGTACCTCCTCAAGCATCTGCTATTTTAAAAATTTCAGCTATTCAAAAAATAAATTCAAAAGTTCTTTAAAAGTCCAAACTTGACCTAAAAATAATCAAAATACTGAATACTTTAGAATGAAAAACATTAATTTAGCTAGTTAATGTTGACAGGTATTTCTTTAAAGAGATCACACATTCACTGACATGGTATGACCTTATAAGCATTTTTTTGATTTGTTTATTAATTTGATTTTTTTCAGGCGAGTAAAACTCCCATCATTTAAATATCAGATCTAGCATCTTCTTCTTCTTTTTTATCTTGTTGTGTGTCAGTATTTTCTGCTGTAGTGTCAGCTTTATCTTCAGGTTTCTCACTAGAAGTATCTTTATTGTCACGTGGTGTAACTTTAGGTGTGGTCTTTGGTGATACTTTATTACTTGATGATTCTTCTGAAATTTACACATGCAATTAATAATTTGAGCCGCGTCATGACAAAACCAACATAATTGGTTTGCGACCATCATGGATCCAGACCAGCCTGGGCATCCGTGCAGTCTGATCAGGATCCATGCTGTTTGCTATCATTTTCTCTACTTGTAATAGGGTTGATTAGCGAACAGCATGGATCCTGGTCAAACTGTGCGGATGCGCAGGCAGGTCTGAATACATGCTGGTTGCAAACCCACTATGTTGGTTTTTTCATGACAAGGCTCATTTTCTAGACCTTTGAGTGTAAAAACTTTATTTCATGAATCAAAATGTGTTGAGTTGAAGGTGCAAACTTGCCTATTTTATAGATCTAATAATCTGATCCTTGTAAAAAATGTCAAAATAGCTTTGAACTAATTGAATCACCTGAGGAACTGTCCATTTATTAGAGTTAGCGTGCATTATTTCATCATATCAACCGCAGGTCAGAAGTGTAAAAATATAGAGGCTCGCACAATATGACTTTATTGAACATGTTCGATAAATTTAGTATTAAATCCACTCATCTGATATTCTCTATAGATTAAATTCCAAAAGAAAAATAAATTTCTATTCCTTGTATGCTAATTAAAAAGAGAATTGTTTCAAATATGTTAATCTACTTTAAACAGAGATTGAAGTATTTAATTCCATACATCATTTGACTTGATATGACATGTTAGCATTCTTTTTTTATTATTATGTGCATATATCACATAAAAATGCACTTAAGAATGCCCTGTCTGTTTAATATGGGAATAATGTAAAGCCTATTAAAGTCATTGATACTTTCACAGAGTTTCATAATTTAGAGATTTACAAGGTGTTGCCCACAAAATTGTATATTCATATTCTGCTATGATGAGCTGCTTTGCCCTTTTTATTTCTGTTATTTCTAACACTGTGTAACACTGTAAATAAAACATGTTGATTCTCTAACTTTACCGCCAAAAGACGACTCAGCTGCCTTCCTCTGTAATTACCAACTGCTGATTTACCTTGAGTCAGGGAAGCTTTTTTTGGTGGAACATACCACACAATATAAAATCACAGCTTGTATACAAAGCCTTCAAGATTTACCCTGTTTATTACCAGTTTCTACAGTTTCTACAGATTAAAGATTTGCCTTGTGTGTTACTAGTTTCTAAAGATTAAAGATTTGCCTTGTTTGTTACAAGATGTACCTTGCTTGTTACCAGTTTCTTCAATTTCAAGATTTACCTTGTTTGTTACCAGTTTCTTCAATTTCAAGATTTACCTTGTTTGTTACCAGTTTCTACAGTTTCAAGATTTACCTTGTTTGTTACCAGTTTCTACAGTTTCAAGATGTACCTTGTTTGTTACCAGTTTCTACAGTTTCAAGATGTACCTTGTTTGTTACCAGTTTCTACAGTTTCAAGATTTACCTTGTTTGTTACCAGTTTCTACAGTTTCAAGATTTACCTTGTTTGTTACCAGTTTCTACAGTTTCAAGATTTACCTTGTTTGTTACCAGTTTCTACAGTTTCAAGATTTACCTTGTTTGTTACCAGTTTCTTTAGTTTCAAGATTTACCTTGTTTATTACCAGTTTCTTTAGTTTCAAGATTTACCTTGTTTGTTACCAGTTTCTACAGTTTCAAGATTTACCTTGTTTGCTACCAAGTTTCCACAGTTTCAAGATTTACCTTGCTTATTACCAGTTTCTTTAGTTTCAAGATTTACCTTGTTTGTTACCAGTTTCCTCAATTTCAAGATTTACCTTGTTTGATACCAGTTTCCTCAATTTCAAAAATCACTTTGCTTGTTACCAGTTTCTACAGTTTTCAAGTTTTACATTGTTTGATAGCAGTTTCTACAGTTTCAAGATTTACCTTGTTTGTTACCAGTTTCTATAGTTTCAGCTGGCTTCTCCTCGGCTACATCATCTGTTTTCTCTGCTGTTTTATCAGCATCAGCAGCATTTTCATTTTCATCTTTATTCTCTGTCTCTTCACGGGCAGGTTGTATACCATCAGCTACAATCTTACTGTTTATTTCATCAATAGCTTTCTTTATGGCAGACTCTGCAGATTTATCTCCTGAAACAGGTAAAGCTAGATATGCTCATTCAGTGTAGAAAACCTGCTTTTGTCATAAAACAAAAAATGTGTCCATAGGACACAGTTGGTCCCAGATTCCACTTTTTTGTCAATCTACTGACTCCAGGTCAAATGTATTTGGACAATAACTCTAGAAATACTGAATAAATCCACAACCAAAACCCATGGTGCATAATACACATGCTGAAACTTACAGGCAGATCCAAGATTTTATTTATCACAGGGAAACACAAAATTTTGACAAAATAATGCACACATTAGACACGGTTTGCATGTTACTAGTTTTCAAGGTTGGCGAGTGTCCTGAGTCAAATTTTTGCTTGATTTTCACTTATCAAAATCCCCCATTCATTTTTTTCTTCTCTATTTTATGGTTTAAACAAAGACATGTACACAATGTTTACCTTGTGATTTTGCTAGCTCTGAAGCTTTTTCAAAGGTTGCTGCTGCTGCTGTTAACTGACCAAGTTTTACTGAAAATATTACAATCAATTATAAATATAAAACTTGTTCAGTCTAAAAAACAATTTTTTAACAAACATTTTTCATTTTCTTCAACTTCATTTTTATGTAAATACTACATATTTGATCTCAAAGAAAAATTACTGTTAGTTTATTTTGGGTTTTACGTCACATCGACACAGTATAGGTCATATTGCGACGTTCCAGCTTTTACTGGTGGAGGAAGACCTCAGGTGCCCTTCTGTGCATTATTTCAGGCACAAACAGGCACCTGAGTAAAACCACCGATGTTCCGTAAGCTAGCTGGATAGCCTCACATGAAAGAATCCAAAGTCCCTGTTGGGATTCGAACCCACAGCGGTGAGGGGCAAGTGGTAAAAATTAATGTAGAAAATCTACTTTATATATATCTTAATAAATAACACAACAGTTAAATTTTATAAAACCATTAACAATAATAGATTGACTTTACAGAAAATATGTTTATGTTTATATTATATTTCATTCTGTAAGTACTTTATTCAAAATTACACAAGTATTATTACTATTAAACAATTATTATCAATTTGTCTGGTTTGAATAAAAGGTAAGACACAACATTAATTAACTTGTATGCTTCTGAATAAAACATACGGGCAATACTTAAGCCTTTACCTGACACTAAATATATTAATGGACTTGTGTATTTTTTAATCTTGGCAAAGTCATATATCATAATTATTTAACGAGAATTTTAAAATAAGTATTGACTGAATTGCAAACACGTAACAGATGGGGCACACATATGCTGGCTGGTCTAGGTCCGCACTGGTGGCATAGGTATTTTTTTGTTTGTTTTGGGTTTTACTTCACATTGACACAGTATAGGTCATATCGCGACATTCCAGCTTTACTGGTGGAGGAAGACGTCAGGTGCCCTTCCGTGCATTATTTCAGGCATAAGTATATTCAGTTGCCACCAACAGGTTTAGGGTACACAATTTTATCCTTCTTTCAGTATTGCTTCATTTAAACCATTACCCAAGAATAATGATAAGTGATCTAACCTTCTGCCTGGGCAGTTAGGACAAGGGCCTGTAACTGCCACATCTGGTCCTCGGCTTCTAGAGCTGCAGTCTCTGACTGTTCACCATTACTCTTAGCCTCGGTATACTTATCAAGTTCCAGATAACAGCGGCCTATCTCGTGGTACAACCACGTGCTCTCCAGCGGTGACTTACTCATAGGTAACTTACGTTCCCATCTGTGTGTAAATACATAAATTAACAAATTATTAAAGTATTTTCAACCCTAACATTACTAAATTTGTATAACTGACTTCCATTCATTATCACTAGCTAAATGTAATATTATTCTTGAAATTTTTCCTGGATATTTAAAGCTGCATGCCTCCAGAAGAACCAAAATATTTTTAGAAACAAACTTGTGAAAAAAAAGTACTGAGCAATAACCTTATATAGTGTAGTTGCCTGTACATGTATATAGTTCAGTCAGGTTACATTTACTGATTGACCTGACTCTAAAAAAATATTTAAGTACAATAAGACAATCAAACTGAATTATAATTAATATCAAATATATATATTTTTTTAAATTGATTCTTTATGTACATAAAATAGATCTTTGTTTGGAACTGAATTTTAAAAGGCTAAATATTTTCAAGGAACACTGCCAGTGAACAAGCAATAAATATAACAGTAAGTTTGACTTACACTTCAATAGCTTTAGCAAATGCTCCCTTTCTGGCATAAACACGGCCAATATTGTCCAAACCTCTAGATACTGCTTCTGTCATATCACTGTAAATATATTTATACATTTATATTAATAAAAAAAAAACACTTGTGTGTAGATCCATATTTTACTGGGGTCCTACATGTTTACCGGACAATCAGTTTACCGGACAAAATCTATTCCAGTCAAATAAGGCTTTATTTTCTTGCTTCAATTAAAAAATCTTCCGGTCTGAATCGTACACACACACTTTCTACTGCAAAGCAAATAACAACAAAACCACTCTCAGGCAAATATTGTTGATTCAGTTCTTTATTTAGTAACATACCCTTTTGTTTACTAGTTATTCCATGACCTGATCATGCAGGGTAATAATCTGTTCTGCGCATTTCCGAAATATTGAGGCCCTTAATCGGTTATTTAACTTATTTTAAATAGATTTTACTTTTAATTCTTCTCAAAGTTTACTCAGGAGACAATATCTTGTTGTTGTCTTCTACAAAGAAATGCAAATTAAAAAACATATAAGGGAACAGGTTACGCACATGGGAGGAAACTCTACATGAAATGTACAAATAATAGACTTTATGGCTTTTACAACATGCCACATGATGATCAAAAGGAAACTGTATGAGAAAGAACAGAATTCCGTTTGAATATCAAAATGTGTCATACTTTTAAAGATCATGAAGAATCAATACGTTAATTGAGTTAATAGTGTTTATTTCAATTACACTCCTAGATTGGCCTCTTTGTAACAAGCATGGCTGCCGTGTCTATTTTAGTGACATACTGGTTTTTTCCAGTATATTAACATAGCCATTCAATAGTCGTAGTTTCCTTGCTTAATTTCAATTTAACACTGCAAAATATTTTGAAACACAATGTCCAGTAAATTGAGTTGTCTGCACGATTTTTTTCCTCTTTTAATGCCCTACTTCAAAAACACATTTCTACAGTCAAAAATTTAACTTTATGTTTGATAAAGGAATGTTTACATATATTAAGAACTCACAATTATTTGGGTAAAATTACATTCTTTTCTATTATTTTAAATAAAAGTTACAACGAAAAAACATCATATTTTGTCTGGTAATATGTAGGATCCCAGTACTTATATTGCTGTATTCATGTAGCAATTATTTTGTTTGACAAAGTTTTTTATTTCCATGTTAACATCACATTCTGTCTAGCATATAGTTAAAAGAATGTTGAGTCATTTGTTACTTTATAAATGTCCAGTTTTTCTAAGGAGACAAAAAGTTAAAAGCTAAAATTAGTGTTTGTTTTCATTGAACTGATTATACATATATATTATCAAATACAAAACTGAAAAAAAAATAACTTTTAGGCTTTGGCACTGATTCAGAAGCATCTTAAAGCAACATTTATATAAGATTTGACAAATGAATTAAAATACTCTTGGGTTACACTGGAGATAAATTACCATATATATTCTATTATTTGTATCTATTGTTTATCTTATTCATAAAAATCATGTTGATAAAGTTTTCAATTGTTTTAATAAATTAAGGCTAATGGAACATCATTTTAATATTTATTAACATGTATGTTTATGTGAGGAAATCACAAAATAAAGGCATTTCAGAGAAAAGATTAATGTATCAATAATGCAAAACACTTTCTTTCACACAAAGCAAATATATGGCAGATATTAAAGCAGGTATTAATTTAAAAAAGTTCATAAAATATGTTAAAGAAAAGAATTAGATGGGGTACAGGTTGCAGGTGGGTGAGATATACTCTACAGTACCAAAAGTAAAATCATAATAATTTTTTTTTCAACACAAGCATCTAGAAGTATAGAGATTTCAAAAATTAAGCAACAGAGAAACAATCATGTGTATATAGACTAACTTTCTCTCTCCGAGGTTTAAGTCTGTCTGGTGACTATCTAGAGCTTTGTCATAAGCTCCCAACTCAAGGTGGGCATTACCAATACAACTATGTATGTTAGCCACAACCTCCACTTTGTTAGGTACGTCATCCTCCGAGAACCCTTGTACAGTAGATAAACATTTCTGCGATCTCTTCAATGCTTCCTGGTAACGACCTTCAACCTGGGCTGAAATTTACAGAAAAATATTACATTGATTAACCTTTAACAAAACTGTCATGCTGTATTAATACCCCTGTTTAGTTTTTTGTGTCAAGTTTTTATTATGTTGGAAGCTATAAGCTTTTTATGAGAAGTTTTGATTAAAAGCTATATGGTTTTTGATACAGTCTGAAATCTGTTCCCTTGAAATACACACAGTCAGCAACCCTTAAATTACAAGTAAATTACAAGTCTGAAGCCCTTAACCACTCGGCTATGCTGCCACAATCCCCCCTGTTTGTTCCCATTGTCTTCATACATTAGTTTTACTATTATGATTGTTTTTTTCTGACTATTGCAAGCTAATAATACATCTTTATATGAAAAGCAGTCTGCATATTAAAAATATCAGTGAGCAAAGAAAGCAAGCCCTATCATCAAATATAAACTTAGATTTTGTACAAACATACCTTGATCAATTCTTTCGAGTTCCTTCAAGATATAATCATTAGGTGAGAGTTTGTGAGAGGCAGATTCACGTTTCCTTCTCTGCATCAGTCGGTCATGTCTGCGTGCATACATTGGTTTCTGTTGTCTCCAGAAATCTGACCGTGTGTCCAGGTATGATAGACCATCATTCACCAATGTAGATATTGTTTTACCCATTTCAGATTTTGGATCTGTAAAAATTTTGTTACGCAAATATCTTTAGGTATCGGTCTCATCCTTAATCAGATGAATTTTTTGTCAAGGATTAGTCCTGTTTTTAATTTGGAAGTCCATTCAATGTTAGAGTTTTCAATATCAAAATACAAAATCAAAGAGTTTATAATATCAAATGCAAAATTATTAAATACAAAATAATCAAATACAAAATTGAAGAGTTTTCAATATCAAGAAAAACAAAGAATGAGTTATCAAAAGTATAAAGCCTGGTTAGACTGCAAGAATATGTGAGCTGGTCTGCCTCTGTGCAGATGGAAAAGGCTGTCACATACAGTTCCAGCAGTTCAAGGAACATTATTCATACAAAACTTAACCTAATTCAAGAACAAACATTTATATGTGAAATACCAATAAACTATACTAATAATATACATTTTCATTAATCACTTTTTTTTTCAGTTCAAATCTAAGCTATACAAGTGTGTGCTGTGGTGTGAAGAATAAAGGGAGACAACTCAGGGTACACTTCCAGATGATATTGTGTATTATTAGTCTCCCTTTTATTTAATATTGAAAGTTTTATCAATTTTAAGTATATTGCATCTTCAATACCTGTTTCTTTGAGGAGTTTTTCTAGATATTGTCTATCACCATACAGTTCACCTAGAAGTTGTTTTATAGTTTTCTCACTGCCTACAGGTACCCGTTGTGTTGTTGATTTATTAAGTTGTTGAGTTGCTTGTCTACCATATGTATTTGTTTTACGTTTGATTTTTTTCTGGAAAATAGAAATAGAAATAAATTTTAGGATTGAGATACCAAGATACTAGTTTTAGTACAGAGAAAGCGAGATACTAGTTTTTTTAATTCAGAGATATCAAGTTTATTTCATGCTTTCCAGTGTTTAATGGTAATATATCAGAAGATTATATTCTGATAAAACACTAGTGAAATTTATAAAATATAATTTTCACTGTAGCCGGACTATATCTGAATGCGAATGAAAAGAATACCATAACTAAATGGAACAAGAGCCATGTCAACATGGCCATCCCCCGCCGAATGTGTTTGCTCATTGGAAGAATGTATATGTAGTAGAGCGGAATAATTCCATTTTAAGAGGTCTTTTGGTAATGAAAACTGATGGCTATAGTGATTACAGATTTGAAACCTATGTGAATACTGATGGCTGAAAATAACAAAGGGCAATTACTGAAAAATAATGCAGGGTAGGTTATCATTCTTGTGTGCTGCATCCCTCCTCAGTAAAATCTATCCACCTATGAAGTTTCAAGTTGATACCTCAAATACTTTTTGAGAAAAAAATTGAATTGAAAAATTAAGTATGAAAAAGAACAAAGGGCAATAACACAACAATTATAAAAGGTAGAGTTATCATTCTTGTGCAGTGCACACCTCCTGAGTGAGATCTATGCACCTATGAAGTTTCATTTTGATATCTCAAAGGCTTTTTGAGTTATGCTTCTGGACAAAATTAATTTTGAAAAATAACAAAGGGCAATAACTCAAAAATAATGCAGGGTAGAGTTATCATTCTTAAGCACTGCACTCCTCCTCAATGAGATCCATCCATCTTTGAAGTTTCAAGTTGATACCTCAAATACTTTTTCAGATAAGCTCTGGACAAAATAGCATGAAAAAAAACAAAGGGCAATAACTCAAAAATTGTATAGGGAAGAGTTATCATTCTTGCGCACAACATTCCTCCTCAATAAGATCTATCCACCTATGACATTTCATGTTGATATCTCAAACACTTTTTGAGTTATGCTCAACTCAGGTGAAAAATTAGGTATGAAAAATAACAAAGGGCAATAACTCAAAAATTATGAAAGGTATAGTTATCATTCTTGTGCACTGCACTCCTCCTCAATGAGATCCATCCACCTATGAAGTTTCAAGTTGATACCTCAAATACTTTTTGAGATAAAGTCTGGACAAAATAGAATGAAAAATAACAAAGGGCAATAACTCAAAAATTATGCAGGGTAGTTATCATTCTTGTGCACTGCACTCCTCCTCAATGAGATCCATCCACCTATGAAGTTTCAAGTTGATACCTCAAATACTTTTTCAGATAAGCTCTGGACAAAATAGCATGAAAAAAAACAAAGGGCAATAACTCAAAAATTGTATAGGGAAGAGTTATCATTCTTGTGCACAACATTCCTCCTCAATAAGATCTATCCATCTATGGCATTTCATGCTGATATCTCAAACACTTTTTGAGTTATGCTCCACTCAGGTGAAAAATTAGGTATGAAAAATAACAAAGGGCAATAACTCAAAAATTATGAAAGGTAGAGTTATCATTCTTGTGCACTGCACACCTCCTGAGTGAGATCTATGCACCTATGAAGTTTCATGTTAATATCTCATAGGCTTTTGGAGTTATGCTCTGGACAAAAATCAATTTTGAAAAATAACAAAGGGCAATAACTCAAAAATCATGCAAGGTAGAGTTATCATTCTTGTGCACTGCACTCCTCCTCAATGAGGTCTATCCACCTATGAAGTTTCAAGTTGATAACTCAAATACTTTTAGAGATATGCTCCGGACAAAAATGTCGGACGGAAGGACGGACGGACGGACGGAGACTATTTCTATATCCTCCGCCGAAATATTTCGGCGGGGGATTATAACAGGCAGAAATAAATGAAGTCATATGTAAGCTTTGCTTCTTTAGGAAAAGAAATTCAATGTCATCATACATCATGTTAAAAAATGTAACAAAATTAGAGAAATTTAACAGAACTATATTTTAAAATTGATGATGTGACGTCATGATGTGATGACGTCATAAAGGAGAATGCGAGACGTTACTCGGTAAAATCAGTAAAAAATACATAAAATCACTTTAAAAGCATGAAATAAAAAGAAAATTTATTTGTTTTACATATAGGGTTGAAAATTTCATTCTTGAACACCAGCTATTCTATTTTCACTCATGGCTATGCCACTCGTAAAAATATTGCATATAGTTTTCACTCAGTGAAATATATTTCAATCTTACATACAAAACAAATAAATATCCTCTATATAAAGGGTTAAAAGGGTAGGTAGCATCAAAATTCAACTTCTTAACAAGAATACCACATTTGGACAAAAATTAATTAATAGGAAAAACTATCAACAGTTTAAGAGACATGCACTGTGCTGGTAGAATAACCTTGCTAATATGGATGCTAATGTTCTAGGGGTATATTTAAAATAATAATTATATTATTGAAATACTATAACTTAAACTTACATCATCAAGTAACTGGTCAAAGTATGACAAATCTCCCTCTGTTGTGAGTTTAACAGTTTCTGGTGCTGTAATTACAAAAACATTATAAATCATTATTTTATACAATAAAACATTGATATAAAATTTGAAGCTTCAATTCTCTGACACTTTGCCAAAAAAAAGTCTAAGGTTTACAATAAAATCTGACCATAAATTCTGAATAAGTAATGTTTTTTCCTTTTTAAAACTTGTACACCATTTAAAGCTTTGTCAACCTTAAATATAGCTTTTTTGTTTCATGGTGTACTTGACAGAATAAAGAGTATGTTCTGTGTTGTATACAAATTTAGTTTATAGCAATTGTTTTAATTTCTTCTGTCACACATGATTTTTGAAATTGAAATAAAATTATCACCTTAAATTTTCAGTTTAAATCACCCCAGTTACTCAATAATTCTACTTTAAAAAAAAATAATGTTTACTCATTACTTTAAAATATTAAGTTCATAATATTGCAATAAAATATAAACATTAAAACTATTAAAGTGTAAAGTTTTGTATTTCTTGTGCATAGAGTTGTGAATCTTATAAATATATAAATCAGGAAAATTTAATGCAAACATTATATAAGGCTGACATGGGAATTAAGGTACAGAAAAAGTCAGAAGAGATACATAGATATTTTTCAACCAGTATTTTCCTATTTAGAAGTCAATTTGTATGAGTAAGAGAGTTTTACCTGTAAAGGAGAAGACAGTGTTAGAGTAAGACAGAAGTATTTACCTTTATTAGAAGATTTCATGTTAGAGACAGAAGGAGGAAAGGTAGAAAGGGAAGGTTTATAGGACAACACTTTATCTAGACTCCAACCAGTTCTCCTGCAAACAACTCGCTGTCGTTTCTTAACAGGAGGTCTAAAGTCAGTTATGTTAGGGAACACTGTCTTGGTAGACTTACAACCAACACTGTTGTCTATAGCTTCCTGTGCTTTCTGGATACCCAGTCTGAATTCTTGTAACTCTGGTCGCAGTTTATGACCTCTATGGTAAAATACAAGTGCCATCTCAAAGTCTCCTTGGTAGTACAATGCCTGTGCTTTTTGGTATATTCCCTGAAATATTTTAATAAAACAATATCTAAAATAAAGATGTTGAAGTTTTTAAGATTTAAATCATTTATACTCTTAACAACAAATTAAAAAACTTAAACAATTAGGGTTGCATATTGCTAGTTTGCAAGACAATACATTTTACGATACAGATCGATCTAGAAGAGCCATACAAAAAATCAGCTTGTGAATCACGTGTATACTGACTACAAAATAAAATAATGAAACAGTAATATTTATCAATCCCGCATTCAATTAATATGAAGGACATGACCCACAGGCTAGTATTTTATGAACTGAAGTTGTGTACGGTAAATACATTTTTTCTGCTTATGATTTGAAATCATTAAGCAGATTTACATTGCTCTTCACAAATATACATTTAACCCTTAACTTGCTAGAATCAAAATTAATTAGCCTCTACCACCAGTACAGAGCGTGCAGTCTAAAAACAAATTTTGTATTTATTACTGAGCTCCCTTAATATTTAAATGGACTGTTCCATAGTCCAAGCAGGGCAAATCTTTTATACAATTTTTTATTACAAGTATAGTAGAAACAAAAGATAATTATATAAATGTACCTTGTGATAATCTTTGTCATCTTCTAGCGAGGCTTCAGCATCACTGAGGGCACTGAGCATATCTCCAAGCTGTAGGTGACATTTTGATCGTGCTACAAGACAATTCTTCTCTCCTGCAGTCAACTCCAGTGCCTTCAAATTAAATAGACAAAAACTGTGTGAAAACAAGAATGGTAGGAAAATGACCATATATAACCTTGTCCCCCTATGTCCCAAATAGATGTGTGTTTTGATTGCTTATTTCAACTGAACGGATCAGCCTTGTATAATTGCAGTTATTAGTAATGTCACTTAAGAAACAAGTTTCTAAACATTAAAAGTTTTGATCAAAATGTTTTATAATAGATCCAAAGACATATCAACACTTAGTGCATTTAGTCAAGAGGCAAGACTGAGAGATTTGTTTAGGATTGTTATGTCTATATTAAAAAGAATAGATGGAAAAAAATGTTTCTCAGTAATTATAGTCATTTTTGGGGGGGGGGCAAAATTAATTTTCAATCCAGCCCTTTAACATTTTCTTTTTTTAAACATGTTGCCTTTTGAATAACATCAAGTTATGAATAAAAGTGTGAAAAACTTAACATTATTTTCTCTTTCAGGTATTTTATCTCTTTTTACATGTATAATATGGTATTTATCCTGGGGGTCTGCATGCGCTGTGGGGAGGTATCTGACTCCCTCGGTACTGGACCTTGGTGTAGCAGTACTCATGCTATCCAGGTTCGTTAGGTTCAATATTCTTTTAGTCTGATGTCGCTGTATTCATTCTTTTATCAATCGTTCATATATTTTCTGTTGTAAAGTATGACAACAAAACAATGAAAATCATCAATATGCATTTAAAGTAGCTTTTAATATTTATTTATGAGTTTATGTTAAAAGGCACATTATTTCTTACACATTTATATATTGAAGACAATTTTAATGTATGACAATAATATTGTAAAGTGAGTTTTAAGGATCTTTAGGTTATATTGTATTAATATGTAAAAATAATTCCATAATTTATACTTTTAATTAGTTAATGCAAAATATTTTTAATGTTCATAATCCTGTTCATTTATATTGTTTTAGACATATATGATTGATGTAAAGCGCCTTTGAACATTTTAATGAAAAGGGCGCTATATAAATGTGGTATTTATTATTATTATTATTTATATGGCTACATAATATAATTATATTATAGTTACAAGTACATACATGTATATGATTAAAAACGCTAATTTAAATTTGCCATAGCAATTTAATCTAAACATGTATGTTTAAAGAGATTATTAATAAGCTAAATAAGCAATTTTTGTGTTCTATAAGTTATTAACTTCAGAAATTATTGTACATGTAATACCAGTGCTGTCCCTTGTTAACTATACAGTATCTTTCTGATGGTGTGAATTTATTTCATGTTCAGTATATCAATACTCTATTGACTTTTACCATTGACTCAATTGTGTTTATTAATACATGACTATGGTAAAAAAAAACTTGGAGGGTATTTCTAGTGTATGAATAAGTTATTTATAAAGATTTAAAACACTGAATTCACTAAGTTGTGTCTTCTGTTGTGTGTGTATTAAATGAATCAAAGACATAAAATAAATGTATCCCAAATGGTGTGAGTATTTTTCAGTGTAAGTTATATCAATTTGATCTTCTATGTTGAAGAAATTTTTTCAATACATTAGATTTACTTTTATGTTTGAAAAAATCCAAATGTTTTGTTGCTATTTTTTTATTAAAGGGTATATACATGTATCTCCCATGACTTTGGGACATCAATAGATGTAGTATTGACTCTAGGACAGGGTGGAATTTAGGATGCCCAATGTTAGTAGGTCAATTTGAACTAAAACATAATTTATTCAAATTATTGCACACAGTATGTGGATTTCTGGTCATCAACACCTTGCAAAAGTTGTTTCTTAACCTTATTTAAGAAAAAAATATAAAATAAAAGTTTCATCTGTACCTGTTTAGGCAAATATTCAAATAAAGAATAATAATTATAATAAAAAAGAACATCTAGTCATATAGCCAATGTCTTATATGATTATAGGTCTATAAAAGTTTCTGTCTAGAACATGCATGCAATAAATCAAAACACTGAATGGAAATGTGCACGTTTGGAATTTTTCAGCAACTACATGTAGCAACAATGTGACATGCTAAAATTGCTTGACAGGTTTCTTCTATATTAAAAGTATAGCAATTCTTTAAATGGCAAATAAAGTCCTTGATTAATGCAACAAGATAATATAAGACTAAAAATAAATTCATTAAAAAAAATGCAAGAAATTTTCTGTTAATTAAGTCCACATTTTTGAAGAATAGATATAATTCCTAAACGTTTTTTGTTATTCTGAAAAGAAAACGATAAAAATTACCAGCTCACTAAAAAAAGATGAATTAGACATGTTGTAGTCGCATCTCAAAGGATTCTGCCGACCTTACATCTTTATCATCAAAGAAAAACAAAGTCGGCAACGAAATAATTTGTCCATGTAAATTTATGCATTTGTTGTGTCATAGCATGTACTACTACTGTCAAATGAAGACTGAATCATGGCATGTAAACAAAAAACGTCAGACGACACATATGTTAAATTAAGGTATACATGCGAGAGTTACTTCGGGTGGTCATTTGTACTATGAATCTGTTTATTGTCAATTAATAGCAACACAATATTGAATCATCCAAAATGTGGACCCACAACAATCAATGCCCGAAGGGTTAACATGTTATGTTTGATTCTTTACGCTGACATTTTTTTTATTGAGAAACAAATATCGGGAATTATAAATCTGTAATATCGGGATCAGGGTCCAAATATCACGATTTTTTAAAAATCTTGTTGGGATATCACATGTATGCCTTTTTGCATTATATCAGGCAAGAGATGAAACAGACCCTCAGGAGTCTATCTGTGAGTGACCCATCTTTTGATTTGTGTCTTGTCCATGCAATATGTGAATCGTTTCTGGTATTCTACAGCAGTCATCGAATTTAGCACTGGCCCGGTGACCCATGGGCATGGCCAGTGAAAATTAAAAACTGGAATTGGGGCTAGTAAATCTTAAATTCATTGACTGCTACAGTGAATTAATCGGACAGACAGTGTCAGCATACATCCCGTCTCAAAAGTCAAAAAGAATGGGAAAAAAATAAAGCCTGGAACCTTCAAGAAAACATATTCCGATACCATCTTTACTTAAAAGACTAATCAAAAATATTTTCGTGCCCCCCAAGAGAATATAGAGCGGGACCCAAGAAAACCGACCCTTTTTAAGTCAGTGAAATCTGCATGGTGCCCCAATAATTTCAAGACGTACAACCCATTTGATCACTGTTAAAACAAAGACTAAAAATTTTAACTACATTAAAATACCCCGAATTCAAAAAATAAAAAAGTTTTGAAAAAAAAACAACTTGGGGACTTAAAGTGTGTAACTTTTTATTGCTTTCTATATTCTCCCGTTTGACAATGGGCTGCTTTGGGCCCGGGAATTTTGAAAATCCCCCGGGCCTTCAGACCCATTGTCGCACCAACATTGTCTTGAGCGTTGTAAATGTTCCTTATTTTTTATGTTGTGAAAATCAAAAACACTTTCGAGTTGACGCTTTCCACTTCCGTTTTCTTAGTTCCTAAGCAACGCGCGTGCCAGTTAAGTTTCAGAATCACGTTGCCGAAAAGGGTTTTTAACCGGGATATATTTTGACGGAAATGTTTGAAAGTCCCTCGAAATTAAACTTTAATTATCATATACATATTAACTTTAACATCACTTAATTTTAAAAATTATAATTTTTTATTTATGCCTATATATAAAATAAAACTAACTTTCAACACATAGAATAACATACTGGGAATATTATATTTTAATGGCTAATCTTTCAACGTTAATCTGGATTAAGGTCAAAGTTAAACGGCTAGATTGATTGTTCTCCGTGCTGTAATGCCATTATATAGTTATATTTGTATATATCTCGTAAGATTACAGGTTGCACTGGACATTCTGGATTTTTTTTACTAATCTATATACACAGGTATAGACGCGTAAAAGCTATTCTCTAGATAGTTAGATCTAAAAAAAAAATATTTATTTACTTTATTCATTTTTTTTTTTTTTTTTTTTTTGTGGAAAAATTATCTTAAATTATTCAGTAACATCCGACAACACAGAACACAACACTATAAAATAATATATAAATATAATATTAAAAACGTTACAATTTAATGAAATAAATTGAATTCTGTTTGAAAAGATTAAAATACATAGCACGTGCGTTTGAACATTAAGACACATTATTTTTAATAAACATGTACGTATACATTCCTAATCATATAAAATATAGGGTCTATAACCAGAGATGTAGATTTACATCTATGTTCTCTGCTATAACGTATGCTGACAATCATTTATATAACACGTATTACATTTTGTTAATTTTGATTCATGGCATCATAAATCGTTAATTCATTTGGTAAAGATGATTCATGGCATAAACATCAACATATTTGGAATTTAAGCATTATCAGAGGCAAAAGTTTTTAGGTACATTGCGAATGTTATAGTTTTAATTAAGCTGAAAAACTTTGAGTCAAGTATACAGAACATGTACCCAGTATCTTCGACCAATTATTGAACATGCATCAGTAGTTTCGGATACCTTTTTTTATTTACATCTGTTTTCTATTTAATGTACTATTAATGTTACATGTGCAACAAAAATTTAATATGCTCAATCACAGATAAAATCATGACTAGGTTAAACCAAATTACATTTAAAACACAGTATAGAGCTTGATATTTAATAAATTTAGATATATTACAAGTTTTATCAATATTGTTAAGTGTAGATTTATAAAAGTCTTTAAGATGGAAATATCAGTATATCAAAATTACTTACCACCAAAAGCACCCGAGGGCCACGAATTTGTTACGGCCCCGAAGGTTTGATACGAGGATACAAAATCGACGGACCACTACGGATACACAAAGGGTTGCAAAGGGTTAAGCCGGGTTAGACGAAAAGTACGGTTTGATACGGGAAGAACGATTGTGGGAGAAGAAGATTCCAGGGATCTTACGGCCCCAAATACATCCGTCCACAACCTTTGCAGTTTTTTTCAAATTCTCACAAGAAAAAAACCAGAAAAAATTTCAGGTTTTCAATGATTTTGGGGGAAAGTGGTTTCGCC